ATCATATGATATTTTCTGTTCTGCCATCCATACCTAAATTAGTGAAGAAATTTAAGTTAAATAGGTTTTCTTTTCTTTTGTAACAAAATATAAAATGCTATCATATATGGTTTACAACATAACCTATTTTGGCCATAATGACATCACCACAAAATAACAGCTAAAAAGTCTGATTTGTGCCTTGATACAGGTCCTTAAATCTAGTCATTCAAAATAGCTAAACTTCCATGCAAAACTATCAAACTTAAGAACCACTTTGAGCACCTGCAGTACAACAGCTTCTTGCATGCAGTCTCCATATCATCTTAGAGAAGAGAATGACCATCTCTCTATATGGAATATGTCTAGTCTAGGAAACACCTATGGCACAACCAGTAGGAATAAACAATGCCCATGAGTATCACAGACACTCCAAAAGAGGATAAATGGAGGATAAGGAATAGAAAAAAAAAAAGAAAGAAAAGAAAAGAAATGGAAAGGTAGTTGTAGAAAAAAGGAAAGAGACAAGAGAGAAGACAGGTAACAGAGATGTGTCAAATGTCTTGAGTTGCTCAAGGGTACCAAACCACAGGGTGACTGTGTCTCTACGTGAAATCCTCAAAATCATAAAAGTACTGGAGGTAAAAAGCCCACACAACTTATACAAGAATACTTAATCAGGTTATTTCTTGGTTTCAAAGGTATCTGTGCCTTCCTACTGCCTTTACAGTAAAGGACACAGTATTTGACAACCATTCAATTTATTTTTTTTTAATTTTTATTTATTTATGATAGCCACAGAGAGAGAGAGAGAGAGAGGCAGAGACACAGGCAGAGGGAGAAGCAGGCTCCATGCACCAGGAGCCCGACGTGGGATTCGATCCCGGGTCTCCAGGATCGCGCCCTGGGCCAAAGGCAGGCGCCAAACCGCTGCGCCACCCAGGGATCCCGACAACCATTCAATTTAAACAAGAAGTCAAGACTTTCTCTCTAAATATGCTGTTTTAGGAAGGTAAATTGGAGGACAAATACTTACCCTGATAAAATTATAATTATTAACTAGGGGGCAGATAGGTATGCAGAGGAGAGTGTGGGACAAGACTGCCATTACTCAATTCTAGAAGCAAAACAGGCGTAGTTACCAGTATTTTAATAATGATGAAATAGGAAGTTCTAGGGACACTGTTTTAGAAGTGGGTAAGAAGGAATTCATATGGAAATAAAAGCAAAAACAGAAATGGAAAGGCAGGGCAGCCCCGGTGGCCCAGTGGTTTACCGTGGCCTTTGGCCCGGGGGTGTGATCCTGGGGATCTGGGATCGAGTCCCACGTCAGGCTCCCTGCATGGGGCCTGCTTCTCCCTCTGCCTGTGTCTCTGCCTCTCTCTCTCTGTGTGTCTCTCATGAATAAATAAATAAAATCTTAAAAAAAAAAAAAGTATACAGTTAAAAAAAAAAAAAGAAATGGAAAGGCAATTCTCCAGGGACAGAATATACCAGAAATTTCTTTTGGTATGTTTCCTGAAAGTTTCTCCCACTGACTTCATACTTAGCAATGTAATGTTACAGTACAAGAAACACCTACATTTAAGATAGGCACATTTGGAATTTTTTACTGTAGCTCAAAGTGAAAACAGCTGCAACAAAGACACGCAGGGTGTCACTGTCTCATAGAATAACACATTAATAATCACATTCAAGTGGAGAACATATTATTTCTAACAGAATAACTACCATTTATTTAAAGCTCTAAATTTTACAAAGTTATTTTACTAATCTCAATTGCTCAAGTGCTTAAATACATTTTGAGTACCATGGACTGAAATAAAAATAAAATACATTTTTGCCTTCAAAATGCTCAGAATATGCTGATAAAAAAATCATGTTCACTTCTGTATGTTTAAACTATTTCACGATAAGAAAATGAACTAATAAATAATAAATAAATAAATAATAATAAAGTTTGCAAATAATAATAAAGTTTGATATCTGGATAATAGAAATATATACAAGAAAAATAAAACAAGACAGTGACTGGAGGACAGGAGGAAGGTTGGTATAATGGAATGCTTTATAGCAAGTTTTGCTTTTTAGAGTTAATTTTTCTAAGATTTATTTATTTTAGAGAGAGAAGAGAGAGCATGCTCACATGAGGGGGGTGGGGCAGAGGGAGAGAGAATCTGAAGAGCCCCACAGCAGGCTTGATCTCATGACCCTGAAACCATGACCTGAACTGAAACCAAGTGTTAAATACTGAACTGACTAACCACCCAGGTATCTCTAGAAGCTAATTTTTAAATTAGGTAACTATATTTTCAGGTAGCCAAAGTTATCATTTCTTATTTATCTTTCCAAAGATGTTCTAATGCATAGACACATAATCTTATATATATGATTATATATATATATATATATACACACACACACACACACACACCCAATATATGTAATGAACATACATTCTTTTCTCAATCTTTTCATAAATGGTAACATATACTGCATACTTGCACACAAAATATGTATAAAATAAAACTGAATACTACGGAGATCATTTCTAGATTAGTTTAAAAAAAAAAGCTTTCTTGGTTTTGGGGGGAGAAGGGGCCAAATATCATTCTACTGTGGAGCTATCGCATCATTTATTTAACCAATCTCCCACTCTACTGATGGGCATTTAAGCAATTTCTAATCTTTTGCTATTATAAACTTTGCTTCAACAAATAACCCCATACACAAGTAACTTTATACATGTTAAGCAGGGTTTTGAAGAAGTTCAAAATTTTGACAAGGAAAATACAGGGTAAGACATGTGCTATATCCACACAATGGAATTATTCAGCAATAAAAATGAATACAATACCGATACATTCTACAACATGGATTAACTTTTAAAACATATTAAGAAAAAAATCATTCATAAAGGCCAAATACTGCATGATTCCATTTATAGGAAATTTAAGTTTTAGGTGGAAGATAATGAAGGTCTAAGCTAAGAAATAGGCAGTAGTGACAAAGAGGAAAAATGAATTCAAAAGATATTTGGAAGGTAAGACAAATAGAATTTATTAGCTACCTAGATAAAGGGGTGATGGAAAAGGGATGAATCTTGAATTTCTGGCCTGGGTAACAGAATGAAGGAATGTGTTACTACCTCTATTTCCTACCCATATGAGATAGGAAGTATAAAAAGAAAAGCAGATTTAGGATGAGATATATATTCATTTCAGATATCCTGAGTTTGAGATGCCTGTAATGTGCCAAGATGATACTCTCTAGTGCATACAGTTGTCTTGAGGTACCTTGAGCTGGGGAAGAAAAGTGAGACTTCAGATTTCAGAGTTGTAAAGAAGTAGTTAAAACCATGAAAGTGGATGTGACTGTCTGGGAAAGCATATAAAGTAAACAAAGTACGGCACAGGCCAAGGATGAAGCTCTGGATAACTTATGTATTCTGGGATCCCTGGGTGGCCAGTGGTTTAGCGCCTGCCTTTGGCCCAGGGCGCGATCCTGGAGACCCGGGATCGAATCCCACGTCAGGCTCCCGGTGCATGGAGCCTGCTTCTCCCTCTGCCTGTGTCTCTGCCTCTCTCTCTCTCTGTGTGTGACTATCATAAATAAATAAAAATTAAAAAAAAACATATGTATTCTAAGAGCAGGCTAAAAATAAATATGTGTGTGTGTGGGGGGGCAATTAACACTTTATTGAGCAATCCCTCCATGTGGTGAGCCCGGTGCTAGGTGGTGCTTTGTTTCACAGCTTTTATCTGCACCATCTTATTTATTGCTAAAAATTTCATGGTAACGGATACTTGTCATTCTAAATTTACAAATTAGGAGACTGAGGATAAGGGATTTTAAATATTTGTGTAAGGTCTGGAGTTTAAAAGTGACTGTACTGAAATAATTACGATCCTGGTCGGATTCCAGAAAGGTCAGACTTTCCTATTTCCTACTTCACCACTCTGCTTTCCACGGCCATACTATTCAGGACGGGTTTTTCCGTACTGCACCGAGTAGACCTGTAACTGATCATTTAAAAAGCCCAACAGGGGCGCCTGGCTGGCTCAGCCGCAGAGTATGTGACTCTTCCTCTCCGGGGTCGTGAGCTGGAGCCCCGGGTTGGGTGCAGAGATTACTTTAAAAAAATCATTAACTCCATAAATAAAGCCAAATATCGCTGTATATCTGAAACTAATGTAACACTGTGTACGCCTCAATTTAAAAATATTACGTAAAATAGACAGCCCAACTTCAAAGAGATGAGACAGACGCTACATTTTCGGGTGGGATAAAAAATAAAAATAAAAAAAGGGGAAGCAAGAGGTGATCTGACTTCCCTTTCAAGATCTGAAGGAAACAGGGAATCACCTTTGGACAGGATGGCAGAGCTCAGAAGCCACGATCCCTGGGATCCGAAAAGACAAAACCAGAATCATTTGAGGAAGTAACTACGATCAGACTTCTCCGTTATCTTACAGATTTACATTCTAGCTGACGAGCCGACCGAGCAGACGAAGGCTTGCCCGTCTCCAGGCTGATGCCAGCTTCGTCGGCGAGTTTCTCGGGGGAGGAGAAGGGGCGAGAAGACCAGGGCTTCAGCCCGGGGAAGAGGCGACTGTCCCGGGAATCCCAGAGACACCACCACGGTCAGCTCCTGCAGCCCCGGGCAGCCCAGGCACCCCCGGCCGGAACCCTCCCCGGCTTCCCTTACTCACTTTTTTGATATTGGATTTGGAGGCAGGATGAAAGTCCTTCTTGCACATGAAATTGGCGAAAGATTTCCCCATCTTAAAGCCCGAGCTGGGGAAGCTGGACGCCGGGTCTCAGAACAACGTAAACAAACGCTGCCGCCTAACCGGAAGTGCGCCGCCAGGGGCCGCGGGAACTTCCGCGGTCAAAGGTGACCACTTCCGGCAACTCGCCCCGCCTCCCGCCCCGCAGGCCCCTCCCCCCGTCAGTGAGGGCGCGTGCGCAGTGGAGCTGCCGAGCCGGGAGGTGCTGCGTGGCGGCCCCGGGGGCTCCGGGAGGGGGTGGGCTGCGGGTGGGCAGGGCTGTGCGAAGGTGTCCCTTCCGCGGACTCCGACTCGACTTACCTAAAGTTCTCCGCACCGATTGTCTCGTCTGCATTGTGGAAGTAGCGAATTCTCGTGCAAACTCTGGATGCTTCTGAAAGCTCTCGGTGAGCTAAAGCCTGTGCCCGGAAAATGCCAAGGTCCACAAGGAGCGAGAGGGTTTATGTTTTGTTACCGGCTGTACCGTGTGCCTGATGTGCATAGGCATTTGTTGGATGATGAATGCGTATTTAGGAGCTGGCAAGGGCTCCTGAGCTTCCCCCACTGCTCTACCAACTAGGTGGCCTGTTCCCTAGCCTCTCCTGCGACCCCCGTCGTGCAGCTCGATTTTTTTAAGATTTTATTTATTAGAGAGACACACACAGAGAGAGGCAGAGACACAGGCAGGGGAGAAGCAGGCTCCGCGCAGGGAGCCCGACGTCGGACTCGATCCCGGGTCTCCAGGGTCACGCCCCGGGCTGCAGGCGGCGCTAAACCGCTGCACCACCAGGGCTGCCCCGAGACCCCAGGGTTTTGGGTGCCCGGAGCTGCTACTGCTGCAGGGGCTCCACCAACCAAGCCCTCTGGCAGGGAGGCGGGGGGTGCGATAGCGAGAATAAACCTCTTGTGAGCAGTTTACCCTTTTGTCCAATAATAATAACAGCTTGCGTTTGAGTGTCTGATACTGATGGAGGAACGAGTTAGGGGCAGGTGGGGCTAGGCAGGGAAGGATAAGGGAGAGGCCCCCAGAGTCGGGGTCCTACCCATCCCGAGGAAACAGATAAGACGGTGAAGACAGGGAAAAAAAAAACAAAACAAAAAAAAAACTAGCTCCCTAGCTCCAAAATGTTAGGGAGTTATCCCCCTTTACCTGGCTGCTAAGCGATCCCAGAGATCCAGTTGTAGAGGAATGTTATGGAGGAGATCCTAACCAGAGAGAAGGGAACCCCTGGTTTGAGCTCGTGACATTTACAAAAACATCTTGTTGTGATGATGCTCACAGGTCCCCACTGTGTTCCTTCTTTTTTTTTTTTAATTTTTATTTATTTTATGATAGTCACACACACAGAGAAAGAGAGAGAGAGAGAGAGAGAGAGGCAGAGACACAGGCAGAGGGAGAAGCAGGCTCCATGCACCGGGAGCCCGATGTGGGATTCGATCCCGGGTCTCCAGGATCGCGCCCTGGGCCAAAGGCAGGCGCCAAACCGCTGCGCCACCCAGGGATCCCCACTGTGTTCCTTCTAAATATCCACCGTGATACTGATAAGAAATTTACCAAGTTCCCTGGTCACTTTCCTATAAAAGACAGACCCTAAAAGCCCTGGGTGGTAACCCTGTCTGGACCCCTCTCCCTTTCGAGAGCTTTCTCTGTATCTCTGCTTAATAAAGTTCCATCGCTTTGCTCGTCTCTTGTCCGCAAGATTCATTCTTGGACTACAAGAGACAAGAACCGAGCTCACCTGTATTGATTTGTTCCATGCACTATGCAAAAAAGCTTGAATAAATACATAAATATTTTTTAAAATGTTTAATATTTTTATTTTAAAATAAAATAAAATATGCAACCCCCCGGGGTGGGGGGAAGCCTGGGTGGCTCAGTGGTTGAACGTCTGTCTTTGGCTCAGGGTGCAGTCCCAGGGTCTGGGATCGAGTCCCCCACATCGGGTTCCTTGCAGGGAGTCTGCTTCTCATGTCTCTGCCTCTCTGTGTGTGTCTTTCATGAATAAATAAATAGAATATTTAAAAAATATTAAATAAATATTAAATATTTAAAAAATCCAAAAAAGCTTTATACATTGTCTTATTAAATTCTAATAAGAGCCTCCTGAGGGATTTACCTACGAGGGGGAAGGCTTAGATGGAGATTAAGGAGCCTCCCCAGGTTGTGCAGTGGTAGAGCTAAGCTCAGAACACAAATAGAAGGCGATCCAGGACACAAAGGTTGAAGTTCACCCAGCGGCTAGTGACCTCCCTCCTCCCATAACAGGAAAAGAGAAAAGTCTTTAAGAGTTTCAGGCTCAAAACAAACAAACAAACAAACAAACAAACAAAAAACAGTTTCAGGCTCATGGTGTTTCTTTCTTGAGTCGTTCTGTTCTCTTTCGAATGAAAACATTTACCAGATTTATATTTTGTTTTAAATTGCTAGCATCTGTTTGTGTAAAGCCATTCTAAAGTTTGGTCATTATAAAATAAAGGAGAGCAGGAAACTCTAAAACAGTATGTCCACTCTGGAAGCACACGCGTTCTATGGGAAATCAAGGGTTTAAGATTTTCCAAGTTACAAATGAAGACACAATCTTGATACTAAATTCTACAGTCAGGATTTACAAATTATGTCTGTGAGCTTCTTCCTGGAAGTATCAACAATTAGGAATTTTACTGACATGGTTTTGTATTTGTCTGATTCAGCGAGTCAGCTTTTAAAAAGCTTTTAAACTTTCAGTGTTCTCAGGATTATAATCTGTGGGTGTTCTCGTTTGAGGAAATACTGGCACTTTTCATAAATTCAGGTGGTGAGAATACAAAAATTAATAAAGCGTACTCCCAGCCCTCAAGGACCTTACTGTCTAGAAGGAGACTCACGTGTGTACACAGATATGGAAATGCATATGTGTACACAGATACGGTCTACATAGTAGTAAAGTGCAGGGGTTTCCGAGTATGGAAACAGTGAAGGGAGATTCAGGGAACACACATCAGGAAAGGAAGATCTTAGAGAATAAATTTGACCTGTAGACTAGAAGAAGGTACTGGTCATTGCCATTTTCTTACTGATTTTTGTACTACAAAATGCATTCCTAAGTCATTTTCTTACTGATTTTTGTAGACAGCATAAAGTTTAAAACTTCAATGAATACCCTTTATTAGGTATGGTAATAACATCCCTTGGCCATCGAGTGAAATTTCTATTTTGTGTATACTAAAAACGTTTTTCTCTTTTTATTTTGAATTTTCTATGTGTTTTTATAGTTTTTTTTTTTAAAAAAAATGGAACCTTGTTCCTGTGATACTTTTGTGGCATTACCTCCGGCAACGGTTGATAACAGGATTATTTTTGGAAAAAATTCAGACAGACTGTGCGATGAAGTACAGGAGATAGTTTATTTTCCTGCCGCAGTTCATGATAACCCGAGAGAACATCTTCAGGTAAGTGAAGTACATGTTTTGTTAGCAAGTTTTCTTTAAAAATAAAATAAACAGCTTTCTTTTTTTAAAAAAAGATTTTATTTATTTATTCATGAGAGACACAGAGAGAGGCAGAGACACAGGGAGAGGGAGAAGCAGGCTCCATGCAAGGAGCCCGACGTGGGACTTGATCCCGGGTCCCCAGGATCACACCCTGGGCTGCAGGCGGCGCCAAACCACTGCACCACCAGCTGCCCATAAACAGCTTTAGTATTGATCATTAGCTAGCTATTTGGTAGAGATTATAGAAGTTAAAAATTCAAGGATTTAAATTTGAAAAATAATTTGAATCAGAACTATACTATCTGGTCTTTTATTTCAGTGATTTGGAGGAAGCTGAAATAACAATAAAAACAGTTGTTATTTCTTTGATCAAGTATTTGAATATTTATTTTATGCAAGCATGTCAAATAGGGCAAGGATTTAAAGCCTGCTGTCAAGACTAGTTCTGTCTTCTAAGAGTTTAGAGTCTGGTAGAGTAATAGGATGTACATGTAACTAACCCCATTATAAAGTAGGGTGGTTTAAATGCTAAATTTAAATAACAACAAGTTGTGACAACAGTGGAGAAAGCAGTTTTTTCAGATTAGAGATCAAGGAAGACTTCACCAGGAACTAGGGTTTCAGCTGGAGTTTGATGGACAGAAAGGATTCTGATTGGTGTAGAAAAGGAAAAGTAATTACAGTCTCTGGAAATAAAAGTTTTATCTTCAAAAAAGGCTTTTGGGGCCCTGTGATAACACTATTAACATGAATTTTGGGGCACCTGGGTGGCTCAGTGGTTGAGTGTTTGCCTTTGGCTCAGATGGTGATCCTGGGGTCCTAGGATCAAGTCCTGCATCAGGCTCCCTGCATGGAGCCTGCTTCTCCATCTGCCTGTGTCTCTGCCTCTCTCCATGTGCCTCTCATGAATAAATAAATAAAATCTTAAAAAAAACATGCATTTTATGCAGTCATTTTGTAGTATACTCATTAACTAAAGGACCTTTAAAAATTTTTATTAAAAATCCTTTCAAAAAAATCCTTTCAACATGAAACTTAAAAAGTTTCATATTATGCTTTTATTGCTAAGGTATATATTTTTTAGATTTCATTTTATTGATATTCTAATACTAAAATATGTTAAATATTAGATGTTTTCTGTATACAGGCCTTTTTTATTTTCTGAGACTATTTTTTCATCTTGAATCCATTTCCACTTTCTCTCTTTATGTTTAAATTTCTCCTGTTCTGTAAACCAGTGGTTCTTATTCTTTCACTATGGTGGACACACGAGATGGGTGACTTCCACATGTTACAGAGGCTTCTGTAGCAATTCTATTGTATATAAGCGCTGCTATATGGAACTTATGTCACTAATTAAGAAATACTGGACATTGAGATTGAGATCTACTCTCTTTAAGCCTAAGTCAATACATCTTCCTCTACAAAATGTTTCATGATTTCACAACTAGAAACCATCTCTCTCCTAAGCTTCTGTTAGCACCTCATTTTTACTTTTCTTCATGGGCCTTATACTTTACATTTTGTTGTATTTCAGTTAATGTATAAGTTTTAGGGGCAGCCCAGGTGGCTCAGTGGTTTAGCACCACCTTTGGGCCACGACGTGATCCTGGGGACCCTGGATTGAGTCCCATGTCGGGTTTCCTGCATGGAGCCTGCCTCTCCCTCTGTGTCTCTCATGAATAAATAAATATAATCTTTTTTTAAAAAAAGATATTGTTTAAAAAAAAGTTTTAGTTTCTTGAAAGGAAATCTGTATCTGATTCATCTTTGTAACTACCATATCTCTTAGAATGCTTTGTGATAGGAGATGCTTGATTTCAATGAATAAAAGCTTCAGGGTAAATTCTGAATATGTTTAAAGGGTAATGATTTTATGATTGAAAATTTTAAATTGTACTTTATTTCATAATGGGCATGTCTTCTGCTTGATTTTTAAGATTCTGGAATTTAATAAGTTTTTCTTTTTTGGCTGTTGCTATGGCTTTCTTTACAGTGTACTTATATAGAAATTGATCAAGTTCCTGAAACCTATGCTGTTGTCCTTAGTCGCCCAGCTTGGTTATGGGGGGCAGAAATGGGAGCCAATGAGCATGGAGTTTGCATTGGGAACGAAGCTGTATGGGGAAGAGAAGAAGTTTGTGATGAAGAGGCGCTACTGGGCATGGACCTTGTCAGGTTATTTTTTAATTATATTTTTCCAGTATAGAACTTGTCTAAATTTTTAATTTTGGTGTAACTCTTATAAGTTTTATTTTCCTGTTTTTTCCCATATTTTGGACATTGATCCTTTATAGTTTGTATTAAAATGCTTCAGAGTACAGACATATCTCATCTTATTATACTTTGCCTTATAATACTTCATAGATACTGCATTTTTTACAAATTGAAGGTTTGTGGCAATGCTGTGTCAGGCAAGTTTATCAACACCATTTTTCCAACAGATTTTGTTCACTTCATGTCTATGTCACATTTTGGTAATCTTCACAACATTTCAAACTTTTTATTATATTTTTATGGTGATCTGTGATTAGTGAGTATAACTTGGTGAAAGCTCAGATGATGGTTAACATTTTTTTAACAATAATGTATTTTAAAATTAATTTTTAAATAAAGGGATGTAATTGTTTTTTACACATAATGCTGTTGCACACTTAATAGACTATTGAATAGTGTAAACATAACTTTATATGCACTGGGAAACCAAAAAATTCATTTTATTTGTTTTTTTCAATATTTGTTTTATTCCAGTGGTCTAGAACTGAACCTGCAATATCTCCAACATATGCCTATATAGGCATGTAATTTGAAGACTCAAGGTTATTAATTGGGAGAAGGGAAAGAGTTGAAAATTATGATACATTTATGTGAATTACATGAAATTATATGAAATACCTAACATACTTTATCAGACCATAATTAATTCTCACAGTAACTTCATAGACTACATATTATTATCATCTTTTATAGATGAGATTCTGAGATAAAGCAACTTGCCGAGTTGGAATTTGCCGAGCAAGTTGCCGAGTTGGAATTTGAACATTGATCTATTTGACTCCAGAAACTTTTTTCTGATTTCATGATTCCAAACTGACTTCAGAAGGAATGGCTTAGAAGTTGGATTTCAGTTTATCCATTAACTTAAAAGAACTTTTACTTTGAAATAAACAAAAAATTGGGGATCCCTGGGTGGCTCAGAGGTTTAGTGCCTGCCTTTGGCCTAGGGCATGATCCTGGAGTCCTGGGATCAAGTCCTGCATCGGGCTCCCTGCATGGAGCCTGCTTCTCCCTCTGCCTGTGTCTCTGCCTCTCTCTTTCTCTCTCTCTATCATGAATAAATAAATAAAATCTTAAAAAAAAGAAACAAAAAATCTCATGTACATGAAATTATTTAAGAAAAATGATGGAAATTTATTTTAATCTGAAAACTTTTATATTTTTATTTTAGACTTGGCCTTGAAAGAGCTGATACAGCTGAAAAAGCCCTCAATGTCATTGTTGATCTATTAGAAAAATATGGCCAGGGTGGAAATTGTTCAGAGGGTAGGATGGTATTTAGCTATCACAACAGTTTCCTGATAGCTGATAGGAATGAAGCCTGGATTCTAGAGACTGCAGGGAAGTACTGGGCAGCAGAAAAAGTACAAGGTATGGACTACTTTTCATGATTTTTAAAATTTGTTTTACAATTAAAAAAATAACCCTCTTAACTACAGACATTGCATTTAATTATTTCTCAAGATTTATAATCCAGTGTAATGCAGGGTTGAACTGGAGGGGAAATGAAAAATTTGAAAGAATGTAACAGTGAAGGAGTACTACAAAGAGCTTTTCTGAAAAAGAGAAAAAGGTGGTGTTCTCTCTTTTTCATATTATGATATTAATTAAATCAAGAGTCAGACCAAGCCACCCAGGCACCCTCTTTATCTTTTTGAGTATGTAATAGATGTTCATCAAATGCACATGGTACAAAATTTAGAGATCTATATTCACATTTAAATAGTGATTAGGAATCATAATGTACAAATAAATACAATATGTTAAATGTGATTTTTCTTTTCCTTCCGCTCTTCTTTGAAAATAGAGGGAGTTCGTAATATTTCTAATCAGCTTTCTATAGCAACCAAGATTGATCGGGAACATCCAGACATGAGAAACTATGCTAAGCAGAAAGGTTGGTGGGATGGCAAAAAGGAGTTTGATTTTGCTGCAACATATTCTTACCTTGACACAGCCAAGATGAAGATTTCACCAGGCAGATACTGTGAAGGCTACAGGCTTCTGAATAAACACAAAGGTATTTTATCATTTAAAAAAAATATCAGAATGAAAAATTATATTTTGCCTGAGTATAAGGTTGGTATGATAAAATCTGGTTTTGAAGGAATTATTCTCTTTTTTTTTTTGAGATTTTATTTATTTATTTATGAAGCACACAGAGAGAGGCAGAGACATAGGCAGAAGGAGAAGCAGACTCCCCCACAGGAGCCTGAGGCGGGACTCAACCCCCAGACCCTGAGATCACACCCTGAGCCGAAGGCAAATGCTCAACCCTTGAGCCACCCAGGTGTCCCTGAAGAAATTATTCTTAGTAAGATATAGTTTTATTAAACTGAAATTTTGTGAACTAATATTATAAGTTTTGGGCCTGGTGGCTCAGAGGTTGAGTGTCTGCCTTCAGCTCAGCGAATGATCCTGGAGTTCCCGGATCGAGTCCCACATTGGGCTCCTTGCATGGAGCCTGCTTTTCCCTCTGCCTGTGTCTTTGCCTCTCTGTCTGTCTCTCATGAATAAATAAATAAAATCTTTTTAAAAAATTGATATACCCTAGACAGTTTGAAAAAAAAAAGGAAGAGAGCACAAGTTATGTGCAAGAAAAATATCAACCCCACTGGCATTAGGAGAATAACAGGAATATTACAAACTTAGAGGAAATGAACTAATTCCTTGAAAGCCACAAACCACCAAAACTCACCTAGAAAGGAGTAACTCTTGATAATTGTCTGCTAGACAACTGGTTGTATTCAACCTGCAAACTCTACTGGTGGGCAGCTCAAACGTCAGCTTGGTTCTTTTATCTTTAGCAGGCTGCTTACAGTCTGCCCCACATCCTGATTCACAAAACAGATGGAAATTTGGGCAGCTTTTTCCCCCCCACAGAATTTGGGGGGTTTATCTCTAACTCTGTCTCTTAAGGGATTTCTCCTTCACTTTTTTTAAATTTATTTATTTATTTTTTTTATTTATGATAGTCACAGAGAGAGAGAGAGAGGCAGAGACACAGGCAGAGGGAGAAGCAGGCTCCATGCACCGGGAGCCCGACGTGGGACTCGATCCCGGGTCTCCAGGATCGCGCCCTGGGCCAAAGGCAGGCACCAAACTGCTGCGCCACCCAGGGATCCCCTCTCCTTCACTTTCTAATACCTGTGGTTGACCTCTAGTTCTTCAGGCCAGAGGTTCTCGTAAATAATTGCACAATATTGCACACTGTTGACTGTGGCCTTCCCTTGGGCTGAAGCCAAAACAAAAATAGGAAATTTATCCTGTGCTTCATCCCATCTTCCAAAAGGCCCTGTCCAGAATTTTCCTACTTTTGTTAACTGTAAAGAACCTTTAGGTAGTCTGTCTTTTGTCCCAAGTTTATAGCTACCTAAGGGAGGGTTGGTCTGATAGGAGCTTACTTAGCTTAATTGAAAGCAGAACCCCTTCCTATGTCATTTAATATTCCATGACATTATTTTATTTATAGAAATATGTTCTCATGATTCAAAATCCACAGGTACACAGGAGTATACAGTGAAGTCATTTCCTCCTATCCTGTCCCTAAATGTTAATTTCTTTTTTCCACAGGCAATCTCTTCTGTATTCTTCCAGAGATAATATATGCTTAATGAAACAAAAAATACATATGTAATTTTTTCTCTTTTTTTAAATAAATGGAAGTATGCCATATACACTTTTCCACATGTAATTTTTTTTAGTTAACAATATATAATGTAGGTGATTCTATTTAATGTATTTAGAATTTATTCATTTTTTAAAAAAAGATTTTATTTATTTATTCATGAGAGACACACAGAGAGAGGTAGAGACACAGGCAGAGGGAGAAGCAGGCTCCCTGCAGGGAGCCTGACATGGGACTCGATCCAGGGACTCCAGGATCATGCCCTGGGACGAAGGCAGGCACTAAACTACTGAGCCACCCAAGTGTCCCTAGGATTTTTTCACATTTTTTTTTTTTTTTTTTTTTTTTTTTTTTTTTTTTTTTAAATTTTTTTTTTTTATTTATTTACGATAGTCATACAGAGAGAGAGAGAGGCAGAGACACAGGCAGAGGGAGAAGCAGGCTCCATGCACCGGGAGCCCGACGTGGGATTCAATCCCGGGTCTCCAGGATCGCGCCCTGGGCCAAAGGCAGGCGCCAAACCGCTGCGCCACCCAGGGATCCCTTTTTTCACATTTTTAACTGATGCATAGTATTCTATTATTTTGCTATCTTGTTTATTTCCATATGGTTGTATTTTTTTTAAGATTTTATTTATTTATTTATTTATTTATTTATTTATTTATTTATTTATTTGAGACAGAGAGGGGGATAGTGGGAGAGAGCATGAGCAGTAGGGAGAGGGAGAAGCAGGCTCCCTTCTGAGTAGGGAACCCGGCAGGGCGCTTGATCCCAGGACCCTGGGGTGTTTCTCTGTCCATGTCCCAGGACCCATGTCTCTCTGTGAGAGACACAGAGAGAGAAAGGCAGAGACACAGGCAGAGGGAGAAGTAGGCTCCATGCAGGGAGCCCGATGTGGGACTCCATCCCAGGACCCCAAGATCATGACCTGAGCCGAAGGCAGACGCTCAACCTCTGAGCCACCCAGGTGCCCCAGGCGTATTCTTATATGTCTAATTATTCTTTTTTTTTAAAAAAAGATTTTATTTATTTATTCATGAGAGACACGGAGACAGAGAGAGAGGCAGAGACACAGGCAGAGGGAGAAGCAGGCTCCATGGCAAGAGTCCGATGTGGGACTCAATCCTGGGACTCCAGGATCACGTCCTGGGCCAAAGGCAGGCGCTAAACCACTGAGCCACCTAGGGATCCCCCTGTCTAATTATTCTTACCTAGAATTAAGTTTGTTGAAAAGCTGTAATTTTTAAATTGTATTTTATTAGTATGTCTTTTTTCCATTTTTAAATTTAGTCACTATTAACTCTTTTATTTATTTATTTATTTATTTATTTATTTATTTTATTTATTTATTTTTTACTATTAACTCTTTTTTTTTTTTTATAAATTAATTTTTATTGGTGTTCAATTTACCAACATACAGAATAACACCCAGTGCTCATCCCGTCAAGTGTCCCCCTCCGTGCCCGTCACCCATTCACCCCCACCCCCCGCCCTCCTCCCCTTCCACCACCCCTAGTTCATTTCCCAGAGTTAGAAGTCTTTATGTTCTGTGTCCCTTTCTGATATCTCCCACACATTTATTCTCCCTTCCCTTATATTCCCCTTCACTATTATTCATATTCCCCAAATAAGTGAGAACATACACTGTTTGTCCTTCTCCGATTGACTTACTACTATTAACTCTTAAAAAAAAATTGTAGTGTGTCTTTGCCCCTATGCTTCCAAATAGCTCCAGCAAAGTAACTTGAATTTAGAAGATTATTGGGTACCAATTAACTACTAATGGGTCATTCCACAGTATTTCAAAATATGTGACGAATATATTCTGTTTCACTTGAAGGATAAAATGATTCTTCAAGCCAATCAGAAAGCAACTGCCCCGAGATAGATCAATGATTCATATTTGCTTCTTAGGTATTCATTAAACACATTAGTAATATGTTAGTTATTTGGTATAACAGAAAAAAGTTTGTGACAATGCTTTTTGAATGCCTTAATATCATTGTTTTAAAATATTTAGTATTTTACTTATATTTTGCTTTCCAGAAGAATGTCTTATCATTTGAAAGGTCTTTAAATAAAATTAATTAATAAATAAATAAATAAATAAATTTATTTATTTATTTACGATAGTCATACAGAGAGAGAGAGAGGCAGAGACACAGGCAGAGGGAGAAGCAGGCTCCCTGCATGGAGCCTGATGCAGGACTTGATCTCAGACCCCGGCGATCACACCCTGAGACAAAGGCAGACACGCAACCGCTGAGGCACCCAGGCATCCCAGGATTGTTAAATTTAATTGAATTAAATTAAGTTGTAACTTACAGATAAATAATTTAACAAAGGTTGCTGTTGTATACTTTTTTCTGGCAATTAACTTAGAGGCTTGGGACATAAATTAGCAGGTATTCCTAAAAAAAAAAAAATGAAGAATAACAACACATAATTAAGGTGGAGAGGAAAATGTCAAGAATCCTAGGGTTTAGAGTAATTGGACAAAAGAAAGAAAAGTAGAGGTAACTAAATTAATTAGCCACTGCATCATAATAATTAATTCTGTTATATTTACAAAATAATTGAATTATATATGGATTTGAAATGCATATGTGATTACAGCAAGAATTGCATCTGACATGAAACTTTTTTCTCCCCAAGTATAAAGTACAGTTCATCTAGCTTTCTGTGTTTGCCAAAGGAATAAATGTCTTTCCAATACTTTCATAGAAAATTGTCTACTAGTATATATTATAGTTAATTTTTCCTATGATTTTTCTAGATGGAAGAGTCTATCTTTCTTCTTTCCAGCTACCTGATAGCTATTAACTGTGCTGCATATATATCCAAATTGTATCTATATTCACTCATGTATTTTAAATAACTAGTTTAAATTGCAGTGAAATTGCACCCTGTGTTTTGCATTCATTTTACTGAACCCTGCTACTGCAGTCTCAGTACTTATTCAATGCTTGCTAGTGGATTACTTATAGCTATCCTACTCAACTGATCATGTAAATCCTCCCTTCATTTTGAGAATTGTAGGTTTTGAATACAGAAAACATTTTCATAATACCTGTATTATCGCAGTGTTATGGTTCTGACACTGTTTTCATTAAAACTTGCCATTTACAGGAATTTAGATTTGAATCATTTTAAAATCTCACTAGGTGCAGAAGCTATATGTCTGATAGATAGGTGTGGATGGCAGGCTTTTGCTTTATTGTTTAGTTTTAAAGTTAAAGGCTGTTTTCAGGTGCAGTCTTGTTTTTTTCCCCCTGCATTTTCTCAAAATTAACAGAAAAATTTGCTCTTATAACAAGTTATGTATAAATTATTTTTCTTGAATTGGAAGTCATAGCTCTCCTAAAGAGAAATGGAAAATTTGCTATTAACATAAAACAGTTGGTAGCATGTAATGATTGAGGGTGTTACATTAGATTATTTTATATGGAAGTCAATTTTATTTTAATTTGAAATGTCAAAAAAAATAAAAAAAAATTGAAATGTCATAGAATCACATTTTGAGTACAGACTTCCTGTAAGCTTTTTTCCTTTTAATTATTCCCATATATCATGGGAATGGGGTAGGGGGAAGTTCTTGCTTTTCATGCTCTCTTTGTCTTTGTGAGTTATTTCATATTTTATTCCTTTACAGTTATTGTCATAGGGTATTAGGAGAGAGGAAACAAATACCTGTGGTCAACCAACTGTGTTAAATGAAAGTTATTTGTTTCTTTAGAAATAGTTTTAATGCAGTAGTTAAATGTTTCCAATATAAAGTATCTGAAAATATCTGATGGCAGGAAATTTTTTTTAACTGTGCTTGTTACAATATAGGCCTATCATGTTTGTTACTATTATTGGAAAATTGATACTATTTGAGGCTAAAAAGAGACTGATGGGAGGCACAATAGTGGAGTGGTTAAAAGCACTGAGCTGGATTTCTGTTTCTGGTTATCAAGGAATAACTGGTAGTAGGCTAACCTCCCCCCCGCCCAAAGAATAACTATAAAAACTATAAAATTTGAAGGCATAGGTGAGCACCCAAGACAGTTAGGACATGAGGGCCTAGATCCAAGAAATGGAGGAATGACTAGCTACACTTTGAGAAGCACCTGACCTTCTATGTCACAATTTCTCCTTAAAGCAATTGTTGACTTGTAAGTAGCACAAATGTAGAAGGAGACATTGAAAAATCAAGACAAAAGTAGTTGCTAAAAGTCTAAAAAGCTATGTAAGATTTGGGAATCTCACAAGGCCTCAGGGACAGAACTTAGATCTAATAGTCAACCAGGCCTAAGAAACACCCCAGGAAAGCTACACCTTAGGAGTAAGAAGAAACAGGTACTAGACCAGTCTCAACTGGACCAGTAGGTAATCTACTTATATTCTGTTTGTTTGCCAGAAGAAAATTAAATCCTCTGTTGAGGAAACCATGAAGAGCTGCTACAAATTTTCATCCATAGTGTCCAACATTCAATAAAAAATTATCAGACATGCCAAGGTATTAGACTAAACTGAAAACCAAGAGAAAGTGGACAGTAGAAACTGATCCACTGGTGTCCATAAACTAGCTTCATCAGACAGACTTAAATTAGTATATTTTAGATATTCAAAAAATTAGATGAAGTGATGGAGAATTTCATTACAGAACTGGAGTTTATGAAGATAATCAAATGGAAATAATAGAACTGTAACATTCTAATAACTGAAGTTAAGAATTCAACAGATACCATTTGGTTTAATAACAGAATAGACATAGCAGAAGAAATTAGTGAATTGGAAGGTCAGTAGAAACTATCTTGGTTGAAATGGAGAGAGAAAAGTTTAGAAAATGTGGACAAGTGTGTGAGAGCCTTCTCAGACTTGGTGAAAAGGTCTCACATATGGAGTTGGAGTCTCAGCAGGGAAGGAAAGAGAGACTATGAAGGGGCAAAATCAATATTTGAAGAGATACTGGCCAAGAATTTTCCCAAACTAATAAAAGTCATTAATCCCCAGCTTCGAGCTCTACAGATCACAAGAAGAAATAAAAAGAAACCATACCTGGGCACATCCTAGTGAGATTTCTGAAGGAAAAAAAAACCCAAACAACAACCAATAGAGAGAAAATCTTAAAAGCAGTAAGAGAGAAAATCTTAAAAGCAGTGAGGGAAAGCTACAAAGGGGCAAATATAGGACTGACAAATAACTTTTCAACAGAAGGAAAAGAATCCAGAAGACTGTAAAGGATGCCTTTAAAGTGATGAAGAAAAACAATGATTACCTATTTAGAGCTCTATACCCAGTGAAAATCTCCTCCAAAAATGAAGTTGAAATAAAACAGAAGTTGTCACTAATTGGCACTAAAGAAATACTAAAGGTCATTCTTCAGGTTGAAAAAAATGTTCTCCCATAGAAGCAAGGGTAAGCAGGGCACCTAGGTGGCTCAGTTGTCTGCCTTTGGCTCAGGTCAGGTCTTGGAATCAAGTCCTATGGCTGGCTCCCTGCTCAGTGGGAAGCCTGTTTCTCCCTTTCCCTCTGCCTGCCACTCCCTGTGCTTGTGCTCGCTCTCTCTTAAATACATAAATAGAATCTAAAAAAAAAAAGATTTAAAAAGAATGGATACACTCAGATAATAGTTACTGAATATTGTCAGTAATGTTAACTAAATACACCTTTAAGATTTTTGTAAGAGCAACCAGATTGAATGTATTTTGCATTTTTTATTCCTTCTGAGTAAGTTACAGATTTTACTTGATATAATGGTTTTTGAGACTTTGTATTTTATATTTTTCTAAGAAATCTTTCTACGACAGTGGAATGAAACTAATAGTTATGATACAATGTTTGTTTATAGTCAATCTCTAATTTATACCTAGACCATTATCTCATGTTATATATTATTGAGAGAAAGCAGTTAATATTTACACTATGTCAGTATGCAAATTCATATGTATTTGGTGATTTTTAAAATGATTTCCCTAGGAAATATAACTTTTGAAACAATGATGGAAATTCTCCGAGATAAACCAAGTGGCATTAATATGGAAGGAGAATTCCTGACGACTGCAAGCATGGTTTCTATTTTACCTCAAGACTCCAGCCTTCCTTGCATTCACTTCTTTACAGGGACTCCTGATCCTGAGAGGTAAAGTCATAAAATACTGTAAACCAACAAGGGCTCAGGGGGTAGGGTAGTCACTAGTCTGTTGGTGATTTTGCCAGGCTAAATTTTTCTTTTTTTCTTTTTTTTTAAATTTTTTTAAAAATTTTTTTATTTATTTATAATAGTCACAGAGAGAGAGAGGCAGAGACACAGGCAGAGGGAGAAGCAGGCTCCATGCACCGGAAGCCCGATGTGGGATTTGATCCTGGGTCTCCAGGATCGCGCTCTGGGCCAAAGGCAGGCGCCAAACCGCTGCGCCACCCAGGGACCCCTGGGCTAAATTTTTCTTACACAAATATGACAACAATTTTTTGGAAGCATTTTCTGTTCAAGTGGTAGCCTGCCATTTCCGTATGTATATAACTGCCATAACTATTCTCATTTTTATAGGACAAAAATGTTAATAGTTTCTTGTATGCAGTTATCCCTACTCTCTTTCTCCAAATATATTTAAAATTGTCAAGAAAAGAAGATGGTTTTCTTTTGCAGATTCAGCATTACAATATTAGATGATTAATAACAGTAAAAAGATAAAATGATGTAGTTGTGCCGGATTTAGATGGTTACTTATCTACTCATATCTAGAAAATACATGCATATAAAATTTAAACTATCAGTAGCTGAAGTTATATCTAAAGTCAGATTTATACAGACTATCTTTAGTCATTAATGTCTCCCACAGAACTCAATGCACATGACATTAGAAATGATCTTATGTTCACTATTTCCTAGTGTTATAGTCTTTCATGTTATTAAAGATATTTTCAAGAAGATAGAATGAGACTTGTGAATGCGTTATTAATACTGCTGTTGATTTTCATTCCAAATCCCAATCCTCAATCTGTAACATTGTGGGTTGCTCTTACCGTTCAGCTGTGGAGTTTGCAGTAGAAAATGATGAGCTGTGTTTTCACTTGGCACTGTTTCTGTGCCAGGCCCTTTGTTAGGTTCGTGGAAATACAGGGCTAAAGAAAGTACGGTCCCCAGCCCCAAAGGAGAGCCCAGTGTACCAGGAAAGACCGATGTGAGTATAGCTAGTATGACAGGAACAGTTAGTATGTAACAAATTAATAGAAACTTCTAACTAGAGGGAATCTTAAAAGATTTAGAATAATGCTGAATACTTTTATATCACCGCAAGCCAATTTAATGAAGACATTTTCTTCTAGATCTGTTTTTAAGCCTTTCGTATTTGTGCCAAATATTTCACAACTATTGGATACCAGTTCACCAACATTTGGACTTGAAGATCCAGTTAAGAAGAAGCCACGTTTCCAGCATAAGCCTGACAGAAGGCACCCACTCTACCAAAAGCATCAACAGGCATTGGAAGTAATAGATAAAAAGGAGGTATGACTAAATTAGATTCTGTTTTATCATTAAGAAGAGTTTCAAATGTGATTCAATCCATATTTTGAACTTTGGAATCTCAGCTTTCTTTCCTTACTTTATGTAAAAATAGGTTTAAAAATAGTTTAGATGGGCAGTCCGGGTGGCTCAGCGGTTTAGTGCCACCTTCAGCCCAGGGTGTGATCCTGGAAACCCAGGATCGAGTCCCATGTTAGACTCCCTGCATGGGGCCTGCTTCTCCCTCTGCCTGTCTGTCTGTCTCTCTCTCTCTCAAAAAAAAAAAAAATAGTTTAGGTGCTTTAGATGCTAAAAATAGTTTAGATTCTAGGAGAGCTATAACCAAAGGTTAAAAATAATGGTTAAGAATGCATTGAGTCTTATAGGGAAATTTAGTATATTAAGTGTAATAACAGTATCTAATATTTACTGAGCACTTACTATCCACTCAGCACCATGGTACTGTTACACAGAGTATTTTATTTAATCTTCACAACCAATTTAAGAGTAGCTACTGGGCAGCCCCGGTGGCGCAGCGGTTTAGCGCCGCCTGCAGCCCAGGGCGTGATCCTGGAGACCCTGGATCGAGTCCCACATCAGGCTCTCTGTATGATGCCTGCTTCTCCCTCTGCCTGTGTCTCTGCCTCTCTCTCTCTCTGTCTCTATGAATAAATAAATAAAAATAAAAAAATAAAACTGTAGAATTAAAAAAAAAGAGTAGCTACTATTACTATGTCCATTTTGCTGATAAGGAATTTGAGACTTAGGGAGTTTAAGCAGTTTGCTTAGTTTATATCTCACTAACAAAGCTATTGGAGGGCAGTTAATGTAATCTCTTCCATAATGTTCTTTTTTTAAAAAAATTTTATTTATTTATGATAGTCACAGAGAGAGAGAGAGAGAGAGAGAGAGGCAGAGACACAGGCAGAGGGAGAAGCAGGCTCCATGCACCGGGAGCCCAACGTGGGATTCGATCCCGGGTCTCCAGGATCGCGCCCTGGGCCAAAGGCAGGCGCCAAACCGCTGCGCCACCCAGGGATCCCAATGTTCTTAATCATATAGCCATAGATGAATTTTAATGCAAAGTGCTGGGATCCCTGGGTGGCGCAGCGGTTTGGCGCCTGCCTTTGGCCCAGGGCGCGATCCTGGAGACCCGGGATCGAATCCCACGTTGGGCTCCCGGTGCATGGAGCCTGCTTCTCCCTCTGCCTGTGTCTCTGCCTCTCTCTCTCTCTCTGTGACTATCATAAATAAATAAAAATTAAAAAAAAAATAAAAAAAAACAAAAAACAAAAAAAAAAAACCAAAGTGCTTAACACCCCTTAGACTTAAAATAATAATAATGAGTTGGAGTTTAAAAAAAAAAGATAAATGCTTGTGTTTTTTAAATGTAAGTATTATAGGAGATTAACATATGCAAAATCTCATCTCTAGAAATAAGCAGATACATTTTTGGGGAGACAGATACATGGATAGATTGACAATTTTATAATATCCATACCTCTTCAGTCCTCTTGTCCTCTTCCCTCTCTCCCCCAGAGATAAAAATAGACTAGAAGGAAATGGAAGGGCACCCTAAAGGTTTTTTAAAGAACTATCAACTGATTTCCCTCAATGAAGGAAAAGATTGGCCATTTTATACCTTTTCTCACCTGTTTATACCAGCTCCTGATTTCTGTTGCCTATAATTCCTTTAACTTCATCAAGGTATATACATTTACATTTTTTCCACATAAAGTGAATTAAATTAATTGTCCTCCAGGTAATTATTTATTTACTTTTGTCTGTGGTATGTTAGAATGGTTGCCATTCCTCCACCTGCTTTGCTTATGCTTAAAGCAGAGAGTTCTGTCCAGACCTATTTGCTGTGAATTCTTTTTTTTTTAAGAGTTTATTTATTTATTCATGAGAGACACACAGAGAGAGGCAGAGACACAGGCAGAAGGAGAAGCAGGCTCCATGCAGAGAGCCCGATGTGGGACTCAATCCCGGGACTCCAGGATCAGGCCCTGGGCTGAAGGCAGGTGCTAAGCCACTGAGCCACCCAGGGATCCCCTTGCTGTGAATTCTTGACACTATTTTTGTTTTATCTTTGTTTTAACTTAAAACTTAGAGCATAGGGGCTCCTGGGTGACACAGTCAGTTAAGTGTCTGACTCTTGGTTTTGGCTCAGGTCGTGATCTCAGAGTCATATGACTGAGCCTGACATGGAGCGTAGCATTGACCACGTGTGGGCCCCCTGCTCAGTGCAGAGTCTGCTTAAGAGTTTCTCTTCTTCTCCCTCTGCCCCTACCCAGCCAATAAATCTTTAAAACAACAACAACAAGAAGCTTAGAGCCCAAACACCTTTTGTAGCCTGGTGGCATGGAGTGAGAGGCAAACAGTTTGTTCTAGGAGTCCATTAAATGTGCTGATGAGAGCCCACTCCAGTGGCCGTGGTGTCATACATTGCATGGGATTGGCTTACCCTCCAGACTCAGCACACCCCTGTGAAAAATGATGAGTCCACTGGTTCTTCTAGCCTTTGCTCAAGTTCGTGAGTGATATGTTTCCAGAGTGTCTGCTCTGGAGGGATTTTCCTTCATTCCCCCTTGAGCAGCCTCCACACTGCACTCATTGCTTACTGTAGCTCTCAAGGATTATCAGCTTCCTTTTCCCCACAATTGCTTCTGGGAGGCTGGTTTTGTACACTTTTTTATTAAATATTTGTTAAATTGCTCATTGACATTTTTCTAATTAATTCTGAAATTAAAATTTAAAAGCTGTTGTTACTATTTTAGGCTTTATTTAGCAGGCATTAAATATTGATTGATAGCAGAAAGTTGTAGAAAAACAATGGAATTTGAAGGAAGAAGTGTTAAAGAGCCGGGTTCTAGTCTACTTATTTTTAATTGAACTATAGTTGACACACAGTGTTAACATTAGTTTCAGGCGTACAATATAGTGACTGGACAACCCTATACTATGCTCACCCCAAGTGTAGCTACCATCTGTTACCCTACACTATTACAGTATCATTAACTATATTCTTTATGTGCCTTTTATCCCCATGACTTCTTCATTCCATAACTGGACACCTTTATTTCCCTCTCCTCTTTATCCATTTTTGCCCACTCCCTTACTCTCTGACAACCATCAGTCTGTTTGCTCTGTATTTATGAGTCTATTTCTGCTTTTTGTTTACTATGTTTTTTAGATTCCACACCTAAGTGAAATAATATGGTATTTGTCTTTCTCGGTTTCTACTCTTATGTCTTTTTTTTTTTTAAAGACTTTATTTATTTATTCATGAGATACACAGATAGAGAGGCAGAGACAGGCAGGGGGAGGAGAAACAGGCTCCACGCCAAGAGCCCAATGAGGGACTCAATGAGAGACTTGATCCCGGGACTCCAGGATCACGCCCTGAGCCAAAGGCAGATGCCCAACCACTGAGTAACCCAAGTGTCCCTCTATTTTTATGTCTTAGATAGGGTTAATGCTACTGGTAGTTTTAATTTACATTTCTTGATTACTAATAAGTTAAAAATCTTCTCATATGTTTATTGGCCATTAGTATTTCCTCTCAAATGACTTGCTTTTTTTTCCCTTAGCCTCTTTTTCAACTGTTTCTTGGTTGTTTTTGTCTTTGCCTCAAAAGAAAAAAATATGTGAATTTTGAGTCTTTGTTATACTGCAAAATTTTCATCTCAGTTTATTAACTTTTTTGTCAGAAGTCTTAAGTTTAGTCAATTATATTTGTTAGTCTTCACCTTTAAGGCATCTTGATTTCATGCTTCAAAAGGCCAGCCTCACCTCAAAATAAATATAACTTCTGTATTTTATTCTAGTATATGTGTGTATTTGAAAAAAAATAGTTCTTTAATTTGTCTGAAGTTTATTTTTGTGTATGTTATGAAATAGGGATTCTTTTTTTTTTAAGATTTTATTTATTTATTCATGAGAGACACAGAGAGAGACAGAGACGCAGGCAGAGGGAGAAGCAGGCTCCCTGCAGGGAACCCGACATGGGACTCGATCCCCGGTCTCCAGGATCACGTCCTGGGTTGAAGGAGGCGCTAAACCGCTGAGCCACCAGGCTGCCCTGAAATAGGGATTCTAACTTTGTTTTCCAGGAGCTGACCAATTATTTCAATACCATTTGTAGACAAAATACATTTTCCCCACTGATATGTAATGTAGCATTTCTTCAGAAAAAGTCGATACAATTGATTTTAAAGTATACGTTAAGGTTAAGAATCTTTGTTTTATGGAGTTCTGCCCTACAATGGTTCACATTTTTAAAATTATACTCACTTTTTTTAAAAGGTATTTATTTGTTTATTTATTTATTTATTTATTTATTTATTTATTTATTTATTTATTTATTTATCATAGTCACAGAGAGAGAGAGAGAGGCAGAGACACAGGCAGAGGGAGAAGCAGGCTCCATGCACCGGGAGCCCGACGTGGGATTCGATCCTGGGTCTCCAGGATCGCGCCCTGGGCCAAAGGCAGGCGCTAAACCGCTGCGCCACCCAGGGATCCCAATTATGCTCACTTCTAATAACTTTCTTCTTCTATACTTTTTCTCTCAGTACCTACCCTATAACTGGTCATGGTAATTCATCAGTAACTTAAAAATTGCTTCATTTTGTAAGAACCATGGCCTTCCCCCACCCCCACTTCTTGAAATAGAAGAATCAGAGAAAATGTCTTTTCTTTTAGTTGTTCTTTGCCTTGAATACTGCTGTTGTTTTTCTTTTGTTTAATCTGATAAAACTGGTTTTAAATATAGAAGATCTGGGATCCCTGGGTGGCTCAGTGGTTTAGCGCCGCCTTCGGCCCAGGGTGTGATCCTGGAGACCCAGGATCGAGTCCCACATCGGGCTCCCTGTATGGGAGCCTGCTTCTCCCTCTGCCTGTGTCTCTGCCTCTCTCTCTCTCTCTCTCTCTGTGTGTCTCTCATGAATAAATAAATAGAATCTTAAAAAAAAATAGAAGATCTAACTTCATAAAAATATCCTAGCCTAAATTTTCAGCAACTTTCCCCATGTACAACATCATAATTGCAATGGTCCTTGTTGTCTTTTAGGTTTCTTGCTTATAGACTAATCCTACACAATTATTATCTTTTCTATTAAGAATACCTAATAGGGGGATCCCTGGGTGGCTCCGAGGTTTAGTGCTGCCTTCAGCCCAGGGCCTGATCCTGGAGACCTGGGATTGAGTCCCACATCAGGCTCCCTACATAGAGCCTGCTTCTCCCTCTGCCTGTGTCTCTGCCTCTCTCTCTCTCTCTCTCTCTCTCTCTCTCTGTCTCTCATGAATAAATAAATAAAATCTTAAAAAAAAACTAATAGATTTGGGTTAATCCATTAACTTAATCTAGAACAATGATTTTTCCCAAAGAATTTCATTCCTTCTATATTTAAAGAATATGAGGAGGGGAACTAAAATATAAGTGAAAACCAGAATGAACAAATCTTGCCTGTAGAAGTGAGTTGGAATTTGGTTAGACTTGTACATTTGTGTGTGTTTATTTATTTTTATTTTTTCATTTTTCAGGAAAAAGCCAAAACATTGTTGGATAACATGAGGAAACTGGAGAAAGAACTATTCAAAGAGATAGAATCAATTCTTCAAAACAAGCACCTTGATGGGGATAAAATTGTTAATCTCTTTCCTCAGTGTGTAAAAGATGAAATTAGAATTTATAAGTCAAACATTAGTCCTTAGTGGTCATATAAATGGTCAGCAATCTTCAAAGTCTGAATCTATCACTTTGGTAAATGATAGAACCTAGCTTGAGCAGATCTGATTATCCTTTAATAGCATTTATGTTAATGGCCTATTGAAACTACATATAGCTTTGCTGAAATATTGAGAAAGAAAAATACATTGGAATTAGGCACATATATCATGGGATAGTCAGGATGTATTTCAGATATTTTGTGGGGTTTTTTTTTAGCCATAATGCCTTTTAAAAATTAAAATAATTAAATATTCTGCACAAAGCATAAAACATTGAAATAATGCATGGATTTATGTTTATTATAGCCCTCAAATAATTTTCTTAATTACAGCAAGAAAGCAGATTTTTCTTTAGTAATGGAAATTATTGTTTCTTGAGTAATGAGTTTTTTCTCATTAGGCAAATACTAATCATATCTAGCAAAATTTTGTAGGTTTATACATTGTCTTATTACAGTGTATTAATTCTGCAAATGCACTTTTATTAAACTCAAACATGCTTTTTGTCAAGATTTTTTTTTTTTTGTCAAGATTTGGCTGACCAAAAAAAAAAAAAAAAAAAAAAAAAAAAAAAATCTGGCTGACCAGTGAGTGATTACCTCTAATTATAAAGTAGTTTTTCAGCTATGCTTTGCACCTTTAAAGGCTTTTATGTTAATATTTTTAGAAAAGCTTATCTGGGGATTAGGAAATGGCTAAGGGAACCAAGACCTTAGGAAATACTCTTTCTGTGTCTTGAATCTTTCTCAAATTTTATTTCTATTCACTTGAAAACAGCAACACGAGTGAGAGTGGCAATGAAATAGAATTGTTAGTGTATTATGAACATTTAAGAACATTATAGTGTATAATGTATTATAAGCATTATAAGTAATATCTACCCAAAGCTTATAAAACTTTGTTAAAGTCCATAGAGATTACAAATAAGACTCAAAGTTGCAAATTTAAAACAAAAGAAAATTCCAACTCCAAATAATACTATTTATTGGTTTCTATAAATATCTTTTAGGTACTTGATTATATTATATTTACCGGTTGCTATCATTGTAATTAGGATTATTACTAAAGCAGTAAATCATTATATTTAAAGAGTGCCCAGGAAGTTTCTTAAAAAGTTCTCTCATAAAAACCATAATCTGCCTGATATTGCTCTTGTCTAATTGAGGGCTGCCATAGAGAGACTTATCTCAGGTACTCAGCTATGGTTCAGTGTTAGGTTCTCTCCAAATCATGAAAACCCTTGGCCAACACCTGTACCTCTTATCTCTCTTTTAATATATGAGGAAACTAAGCAGGCTGTTCATTTATCTAGAGACACATACTTGAATCTTATTCTCTCCCTAGGGCCAGCATGTTTTCCCTTTCTCCTCCCACACCAACCTAGACTCAACTACCACCATCTCTTACTTGGACAATTTCAGCTGTTTTCTACACCCATTTTTGTTTTTTATCTCCATTCATACAGATCACTGCAGCCCAAGTGATCTCTTAGAGGTGTAAATCTAATCATGAATTGCTGTCCTGGAACTTTTTAAGAAAATACTTTTTATAGCAAATTTAAGATTTAGAGCAAAACTGAACAGAGAGTACAGAGTTCCCACGTACCTCCTGTCCCACCTCCAATTTCCCCCGCTAGCAACATCCCACACTAGAATGGTATATTTGCTATAGCTGAGGAACCTATATTAACATATCATTATCACCTCAAATCCATAGTCTACTTCAGGTTCACTCATGGTACCTTCAATGGGTTTGGACGAATATATAATCATATGTATTAATGATCATAGTATCATACAGAGTAGTTTCACGGCTCTAAATATCATCTGTGTTCCACCTATACATCTCTCCCTCTGCTTACCCCTGACAACTACTTTTTTACTGTCTCCATAGTTTTGCCTTTTCTAGAATATCATATAGTTGGAATCATACAGAATATAGCCTTTTCAGATTTGCTCTTTAACTTACTTAGTGATATGCATTTAAGAGTCCTCCATGTCTTTTCATGGCTTGAGAGCTCATTTCTTTTTAGTGCCGAGTAATATTACATTGTCTGGGTGTCTTGGTTGCTGATATCCACTATGAAGGGCATCTTAGTTGCTTCCATGTTTTGGCAATTATGAATAAAGCTGCTATAAACATCTGCATGCCAGTTTTTGTGTAGACATAAGTTTTTCATTTTATTTGGGTAAATACCCAGCAGCATGAGTGCTGGATGGTATGGGAAGAGTATGTTTAGTTTTATAAGAAACGGCCACACTATTTTCCAGAGTGACTGCCATTTTGCATTCCCACCAGCCGTGAATGAGAGTTTCTGTTGCTTCACATCCTTGTCATTTGGTATTGTCAGTGTTCTGGATTGTGGCTGTCTCATAGGTGTATAGTAGTACCTTGTTTTAATTTGATGATAACACATGATGCAGAGCTTCTTTCATTTTTTAAAAGATTTTATTTATTTATTCACGAGAGACAGAGAGAGAGAGGCAGAGCCACAGGCAGAGGGAGAAGCAGGCTCCATGCAGGGAGCTTGATGTGGGACTTGATCTGGGACTCCAGGATTATGCCCTGGGCTGAAGGCAGATGCTTAACAGCTGAGCCAGCCAGGGGTCCCCAGAGCATCTTTTAATATGCTTATTTGCCATCTGTATGTCTTCTTTAGTGAGGTAATCTGTTCAGATCATTTGCTCATTTTAAAAATCAGGTTGTTCATTTTCTTATTGTTGAGTCTGAAACTCAAGAGTCATTGAGATGAGTTCCAATCCTTAACAACTATCAACAAGATCCTGCTGATCTTTCCCATCTATATCTTACTACACTTTATCCATTTGTTTTCTAATCCCCACCATCCCCCCATTCACCTCCCTTTTGGCAGCCACCAGTTCTCTGTCCGTTTCTTCTTTTTGGTGTTCGTTTATTTTGTTTCTTAAATTCTATATATAAATTATATAAATTCTACATATAAATATTCTACATATTTCATAAAAATAAATAAATAAATAAATAAATAAATAAATGAAATCATAAGATGTTTATCTTTCTCTTCCTGACTTATTTCACTTAGCATAATACCCTCTGGGTCCATCCATTTTGGTGCAAATGGCAAGATTTCATTCTTATGGCTGAATAATGTTCCATTGTATATATATACCACATCTTTTTTATCCATTCATCTATGATTGGACACGTGGGTTGCTTCCACATTTTGACTATTGTAAATAATACTGCAATAAACAGAGGGGCACATATATCTTTTTGAATTAGTGTTTTTGTTTTTTTGGGGTACATACCCAGTTGTTGAATTACTGGGTCCTATGGTAATTCTATTTTTAACTTTTGAAGGAAACTCCATCCGCATTGTGCCTGCATCAATTTGTATTCCCACTGACAGTGTAAAAGGAACCCTTGTACACTGTTGCCTTTTTTAATTTTTTTAAGACTATTTGAGAGAGAGAGAGCACGCTTGAGCATGAGTGGGGGTGGGGAGGGGCAGAAGAGAAGCAGACTCCTCACCGGGCAGGGAGCCCAAAGCAGGGCTCCATCCCTAGACACTAAGATCATGACCAGAGCCAAAGGCAGACACTTAACCAACTGAGCCACCCAGGTGCCCCAACTGGTGCCTTTTAAAAAGCTCTTCCTATGCTGCTCTTTCAAATCCTCTAATGTGCCCAACTCCTTCACAATGGCTGTACCCTGTTTGCACCATTCATTTCATGTGCTCCACTTTATGTAATTCCTTTATGTAAATTCCTTTAGAATTTTGCTGAAACATGAGTTCCTCAGGAAAGTTTTCTCCACACCACAAGGTTAAGTCTGTTGTTACACACTCTCAGAGTCATATGTGATCCTGATCACAAGTGTAATTGTATGTCTAACATCTGTCTTTCACAGTATAATAGAAGCTTTATAAGGTTAGGAACTGTCTTTGTTCCCACTATTGTGTGCTCAGTAGTCAACATTGTGTTGGCACAAGCTAGATGCTCAATAAATATCTGTTAAATGAGCATTCAAATGCTCATGGAAATAATTTATACAGTCCTCTGTAAAGCTGAGCAAATTACCTAGACAATCTACCTGTACAACTTAGTACCTTTGTTAAGTCACAGGTCAACCTGTTGCCTTTTTCCATATTCAAAATGGGAATAACAGCTCCCTAAATACAAGGATTATTAGAAGGAGTTATGAGTTAACTTGTTATGAGTTAACTAAGAAACAGTTTGGGATAGGCAGCCTGGGTGGCTCAGCGGTTTAGTGCCACCTTCAGCCCAGGGTGTGGTCCTGGAGACTTGGGATCGAGTCCCACGTCAGGCTCCCCACATGGAGCCTGCTTCTCCCTCTGCCTGTGTCTCTGCCTCTGTGTCTCGTGAATAAATAAATAAAATCTAAAAAATAAAAAAATTCTTAAAAAAAAGTTTTGGGAGACTTTCACTCCATAAATCTGATATGGTATTTGCGTTTTGGTAATTATGTGGGTAATTAATCCCTGGTGGCATATTTTAGAAAATTTAAGGTTTTCTTAAAATTCATGTGTTTCTTAAGTAAAAAATATAGTAGCCAAAATTAAGCTTTTTTTTTTTTGTTTTTTTTGGTTAACCCTCAAATGATGTGGTTATTATTTACCATGATGTAATAAACCAATAATCTAATGAACTGAGCACTTTAGAGAAAGCTAGTTTGATCTTTGGTGAAAACATAAATTTATGTATTAATCTTCAAAACAATTTTATTTTTTATTCTAATTCCAGTTAACAGTTTTACATTAGTTTCAGGTGTACAATATAGTGATTCAACAATTCCAGATATTAGTGCTCATCAAGATAAGTATACTCTTAATCCTCTTCACCTGTTTCACCCATCAATTCCTACCACCATCACACTCCCACCATCTGTTTGTTCTCTATAGTTAACAGTTTGTCTTTTGGGTTTTTTTCCTTTGTTTTTTTCTTGAATTTCACACATAAGTGAAATCATATGGTATTTGTCTTTCTCTGACTTATTTTGCTTAGCATTATACTCTCTAGATCCATCCCTATCGTTGTAAATGGCAAGATTTCATTCTTATGGCTGAATAATATTCCATTGTGTGTGTGTGTGTGTATATATATATATATATATACACATATATATATATCTTCTTTATCCACATCTTTATCCATTCATCTATTTTTTTTTATTATTATTTATGATAGTCACAGAGAAAGAGAGAGAGGCAGAGACACAGGCAGAGGGAGAAGCAGGCTCCATGCACCGGGAGCCCGACGTGGGACTCGATCCAGGGTCTCCAGGATCGCGCCCTGGGCCAAAGGCAGGCGCCAAACCGCTGCGCCACCCAGGGATCCCAATCCATTCATCTATTGATGGACAATTGGTTAGCTATTGCAAATAATGCTGTAATAAACACAGGGATGCATATAGATTTTTGAATTAGTGTTTTTGTATTCTTTGGTTAAATATCTAGTAGTGTGATTACTAGATCATATGGTAGTTCTATTTTTATTTTTTTTTCTATTTTTAATTTTTTAATTTTTTAATTTTTAATTTTTTGAGGACCCTCCATACTGTTTTCCACAGTGGCTGCACCAGTTTGCATTCCCACCAACAGTGTAAGAGGGTTCCTTTTTCTCCATATCCTTGCCAACACTTGTTTCTTTTTTTGATTTTAGCCACTCTGACAGGTGAGGTGACATCTCATTGTGGTTTTGATTTGCATTTTCCTGATAGTGAGTGATGTTGAGCATCTTTTCATGTGCCTGTTGACCATCTGTATGTCTTCTTGGGAGAAATGTCTGTTTGCATCTTCTGCCCATTTTTTAATTGGACTGATTTGTGTGTGTGTGTGTGTGTGTGTGTGTGTGTGGTTGAGTTGTAGAAGTTCTTTATATATTTTGGATACTATTTTTCAATTATGTCATTTGCAAATATCTTCTCACCATTCAGTAGGTTGTCTTTTAGTTTTCTTGATCAACCAAAAATTTTGTCCCAGAAACAATTATGTAGTCTAGAATTTTGGAAGTTTAGTTCCTACTTGTGTAATTTGCCAAAAATTGACTCAATGAAGTGAATGTTTTCTCTCTTTAATTACTTCAGGCTTTATCACACCAGTCATAGAAATTTCTCATCTCACCTTTTCCTGAAGAATGCTGATAACACTTCTGATCCTGAACTGTATTCCAACCATCAGACATCACTTGACTACCTGTGTCCAGTGGTCTAAGGCAATTTAATATTTTACATCATGTGAAAATTGAAGGAGCAAAAACTATAAGAGCTCTATTCTGCATAGCAAACATGTAAAATAATAGTTTTACATTTTTCTTGCTTTTACAAACTTACTGTCATTGTTATTCTTAAAATGCCAAGCACACTTTACCTTATTTTTAAAATATTGAAGTTTAAATAAAAGCTAGTCATGAAATTAATCAGAACAAAGAAAAGAACAACTTACCATACTGAATATTAGCCTAAAAGGGGTAGTTTTTTTCTTTTTAGGTAGTCTCTACAACTAACCTGGGGCTTGAACTGATGACCCCATGATCAAGAGACAAATGCCCTACTGACTGAGCCAGCCAGGCTAAAAGGGGTAGATTTTAACCAGAATTCTATTAGGTAATTTTCCCAGCTGTGACCCTGCATATTAAAAATTATGAAATGTGAAAAAGACTCTTGTCACATTTTTTTATTAATAAAAAGTGCTTACTGAGTGAATAATTGAGCAAGACCCTGTGCATATAGATCCCTATGCATAGATCACAAAGAATGGAACAATCTCAGGAGACCCATTTAAGAAAACATTGAGGGGCGCCTGGGTGGCTTGGGTCATGATCTCAAGGTCCTGGGATCCACCCCTGCATTAGGCTCTCCACTTAGTGGAGAGTCTGTGTGTCTTTCTTCCCACTCCCTCCGCTTGTGCTCTTTCTGTCTTTCTCTCAAAAAATAAATAAAATCTTAGAGCACAAGCAGGAGGAGGGACAGAGGGAGAAGCAAGCAGACTCCCCGTGGAGCAGGGAGACCGATACAGGACTCAATCCCAAAACCCTGGGATCATGACCTGAGCCAAAGGTAGATGCTTTACCCACTGAGCCACCCAGGTGCCCTAAATAAAATATTAAAAAAAACAAAACAAAACATGTAAACTTAGAAAACATAGAAAAGACCTCTCTGATGGCTTCTGCATTTTTCAGTTTACTCAAAGAAAAGATGTTGCCAATGCAAGTTAAAATAGGCATTTTATTGAGAAACTTGCTTTGTCAGAGTAAAAGTTACAAATATTTTCATTTAATAAAATTAGCATATCCATAATCCTAAAAACATCCCTTAAAAGCCTTTGTTTATCTGAAACCTCAGATCATTCAGATCCAGGGTTTTCTCTTAGTGTTTTCTGTGGAAAAAGATGCTGCTTATTCCCTTCATGCAAATAACTGAACATGTGTAGTATGACTTGTTCACAAAACAAATTCTCCAGTTTGAGTTGCCTGCATGCATGTGAATTAATATCTGCATTTCTGTGACTATAAAAGTCTCCTGCTATAACAATGAAGCGTTTTGCTTACTCCTGAGCAATCTGAAAGTTATAATGTGGTCATGTAAAAAAAAAAAGGTCTTGCAGCAAGACAGTTCTGCTGAAAAACATCCCCATTCCCTCATCATAACATGAAGTTGGTACAGGTTAATACTACACAATAAAGTGTAATTTGCTTGTTAAATACACTAGGCTTCCATGCAGGTTTTTAAAATAATTATCTATTTGTTTCATTAAAAGGGCAATGATTTAACTTTATAAATCATTTTCTAAATGGCTTTTCCATGACACATTAAAAGTATGAGAAAAATAAATACTTGAAACATGTTTTAAATAAGTTAAACCAGCACTGACACCTAATAAAATTAAGTAGAGGTTCAAAGGTCATGTGAATAGATCTCTTTTTAATTTACTGAAGATAAAGCTTACATGAGGGCAACACTGAATAATTTTCAAGTTTATAGATTTTTATACATGGATACTTAAAAAGACTAAATTCTAGGTGTAAAAGTTGGATGTTAGGTTTAGAATTTTTTAATCTTGACTTGAACTATAAAGTTTTTTTTCTTTTTAACTGCAGGAAATTAATAGGGCTATGCTTCTGCACTGTGATGCTTTGTGCAAACACCAGAATTGATATATGACAATAATATTCTTGCTAAAATTTAAACAAAACTGCTGAAATTATTCTTAGTACAAAAGTTAAAATTATACTTCTGTTGAGGGATTTTGGAGATAATATTTATGGTGGTTCTTATTTGCCTCCTGTGGCACAGATTAGTACTTTGGCTAGAAAAACAAGAAAAGATAAACTTTAAAAAAATATTGCCTCTAGTTTTTAATTACTATTTGTTAAGAAAACAGGAAAATAGAGTAAGAAGGTCTTTTATCAGAATCATTAAAATTCTTTTTCAGGAGGTGCTATCAATAAGTGCAAAGTTGTCATAATTTAAGGTCCATTTCCTGCTAGCAGTATACTTGCCGAATTTGGCAGTTTAAAGCAATATGTTGGATGTTGACTTTGAAATTATAGCAAACAGATGCAGAGAGCAATGTCTTAAAATGTTGGCATAATTAGTTTATAGTAATTAATACATTTATTAGGACTTTACATTTTGACTTGGTTTTCTCTTTTTTCCTAAGTCAGTTTTCCTGTGTGTTTTCCATACACATGAAATCACAAAATGTTAGCATGGGGTAGGAACACATCAAATTTTACAGAAGAGGCAACTGATGCTCAGAGACGTTGTGATTTGCCCAAGGTCACTCAACTAATAAGAAACAGACCTGGGGCTAGAATATGGCCGAGGGTTGTCTCCTTCATCATTTAGGTCTTAGGGGATGGAGATGAATGCTCAATCTCTTTATATCTTTCCTTTGGGGGAGTGTTTGCATTAATAGCAGGAGGACTCTGCTCAGGACTCTTTTGAAGAAATCTATAAAACAAGTATTCATCCCGAAATTCATACTCATTGGTAATATGTTGGATGACTCCCCCTTGCACCAGTCTATCTCCATATATCACAGCTTCACCACGGTCAGAGGCAAGGCCGACTTCAATGAGCCAGTTCACCAGGTCACAGCCACAGAAAGTCCCAGTAGATGTCTTTGCACCACACCTGTATGTCAAAGGAATGATTCACCCATATGTTCTGTAAACCTGGTATGAGCACTGCATGATAGAGGACAAGCAAGGAAAAACAGGAGACAGGGAAACACAGCATGACAGTTAAAAGTGTGGCAGGAATGAAACTTTTCTGATATAAAGGGTCTGTTAAACTCACCTGACCCTAGAAAGATCCACCAGAAAAAAATAAAATATGCCAATAATGCTTGTGAAAACAGAAACATGTAAAAAAAATGATGTAAGTACATCTACAAAGAAGCATTCTTTTTATAGTAGCTGGCCTTTTATGCTCAGATCCATTTTGTAGACAGCTGGATATTATTTATTTATGTTATATTCATAGGTATAATAAGTAATTTAATTGTCTTAGGAACATTAAATAATATTTTTTACAAGCTCTTAGGAAGTAATTATTTTTTACTAAACTACTCAAATCGAACATCATTATTTTCTGTTTATCACAGTGCCCACAAATAGTCTTTCTTCTTGCCTTCAGCAGCAAAACAATCCTACTGATGTATTTGTCAAGAATTTGCTGCATTAGGAAGTAAGGAAAGAATAAGTGTGATCTGTCTTGCTACAAATCTAAGGTCTTTAAAATGTACTTTGATGATGAATCTATTTCTTGATAATTTAAAATTTAAAATCTGTCTTCCTAATGCAAGTGTGGGGTTCCTCACATATCAACAAATAAACAAAGGGAAGAGAAATGTAAAAGAACCAATTACATGAAGTCTGTACATTTTTATACAAATATGTAAGAGACAACATGAATCTGTCCACAAGCATTAGTCAAGCTGTAACACCTGAAGTGCTTGACAACAGGAAAACAGCAGATGAAAATCAAGATGAAATGAGAAATAGGCGACAAAAATTTTAGAACATTTAACCACCAATTAATACAGCATTTCATATAAAAATTAGAAAAGAGGTTAATATACATGAAAAATCTTCTCAAGTACATAAATCAATATATTTTAACATCAGTGTTTTGCTTAGTAATAAGATATCTTAATTTATGTTTTGCAACTACAAACTCTATCACTTTGAACAGAAAGCCTGAATGAACATTACAACCTATGTCTGATCCTTCTTCCTGCTTGTTGATTTTTAATTTATGGCCCAACACCTTATATCCCAGACACCAACTGAATAATATTGCTTCCTGCTGACTGACCAGGCAGCTGCAATCACAGCCCATGGGACAGTGCCGAGTGGCAGAGAATGTGCCGCCATATAGGATGCAGAGCACCACTGCCAGCCAGCGCCCGTTCAGCCATCCAGGACTGAGGCCCACTGGCAGCCCTGCAGAGCGCAAGAGCCATGCTTCTGACAGCAGGTGATCACAGGGGGCCTTTCTTAATTTCAAAAAAACAATTGTAAATTGTTGAAACTATCCATAGATGGAACTTTGGCTCTTTAAGGGTAAGAAGCTTTCCTTCATAGTTTACCAGAACCTGAGCTGGCCCTATTATGTAGGTTTTGTCATCTGATTCAAGGACAGGTTCTCTAATTTTAAAGAAGAGGAAAACTAAGGTTTAGAGAATTGAACTGCCCCAATATCATGTAGCTAATATGTGGCAAACTCAGGGGCTGGCTCCTGGTATGGGTGCCCAAACAGTGAGTCCCCTTTCCACTAGCTGTTCCAGGCTATCTTTTGGTTATAATAAAATATACTCCTATTTTATATCATCCTAAATGGTAAATATATCATCCTAAATGGTAATCTTCATAAATTTTCAAATCTGCAGTTATAGACATAAAAGTATTTGGTTTTTTTAATGTTTTTTTTCCCCTCTTTTATGACAACCAAACATCATGGCACTGATTCATTCATTTCCTGCTGCATGTTCTGTATCTTGAGAATTAGAAGAATAAATATGATGTCATAGACTGAAGATTAGGACTTGAAAGGGAAAATAAGCAGCAGAAGTAATTAAAGGACAGAAATTTCATTTCATTTTCTTGACAATGTAATTAATAATATGAAATAATGTACCACTAGGAGACAGGAGAATAGAAAGCCACCCTAAATCCAGTGTCTCTCATAGTTTTGTGATGGCCAACATAAAATGAATGTTAATATTTTACTACATTTTGGTTCATTTTAAATTAGTTTTTGCATTTTATATGGACATTGGAAGTTATATAACATTTAGAAAGTGTAAAAATCTTATATATGTTATTTCTTAAACTGTAAAGCTATTTTAACTTTTACATGTAAAAGTGCTACTGAAAATAACAACCATGCAGTTAGTTACAACCATATTACTCAGCCTGTTACAAACCAAAATTAATATCTAAAATATAATTATCTGGAAATTGTACTTACCTTCTTTCCTTGACAATGTTTCGGATACAGAGGTCACGGTGATAATGGATAAACTGTTGACAGGTCATTTTTATTTCCTCAGGAACAGGAGAACCCCTGTTTTCTGCTGTCTCTTTATTATTCCATAGGAATTCAAGTCTAAAAATCAAAATTTATGGATGCCACTTTTAAGGAAAGGAAAACACGGAGAGAAAACCCCTTCTTGCCTATTACCCCCATCAACATGTGTCTCCCAAAGCTAGCATCTACAACATCCAGATATTTTTAATCTCGAAAGCAAAGACATAACCTGCCCTTGGTTTCCTGGTCCAAGCAGGTAGGGTGGGGGTAAGGTGAGGTGGGGTGGGAGACTTGAACATTTTATAAACCTTCCTGACATATTTGATCCATTTCAGTTTCTGCCAATAAATGTTCTTTTCTTGTTCTACATTTTACTGTTTTAAGTTGCAAAAATAACTCACAGAGATCAAGTATTTTATTTAATCATTTTCCAATTTCAGTACCACAGAGACCAATACTGGGATCTGGAATACAGCAGAATTCTGTTTCTTCCAGCTCAGACAATAGATGTGTTGACTATTTTATCTGATCAACATTATGAAGCTGATAACTAAGTTTAGTGACTTTCCTATTACACTTTTCCTCCTTAATGAAGTGATTATGACCCAGCAACTACATCTTTATAATGTGATGATGTTGATGACAAAAAAGAAGGAGGAGAAAGAAGAGTGACCAAATACTGGGCACTTTTTATATACCTGGTTCGATAAGTTCCATTAGCATTTCTCATTTCTACTAATTTTGACTTTGAAAACAAATGAGGATATACAAATATTTGTGCCCCGCTTCCTGCCACTCCCAAGCTGGAGAATTCTCACTTCATTTTTATATTCACGCTATCATTATTATTATAAAGAAATTCCCAATCTGAATCCAAAGAAACTCTTTACCAAGCATATAAAAAACAAAAATTTAGAAAGGAGAGAACTTGAGTTTTCTATAAATTGTCAGTTTGATAGAAAGAGAAATCCTACTGTCAAGGGAGAACCTATATTGTCAAATATAGGCCTTTGGGGGCACACCGTCTACTATTTCCATTTCTAAATACACTTTCAGGGTCATTTTGCTTTATGTAGTTAATGGGATAGATAGAAGTCTGCATCCATCAATTTTTGTTAAAATGCAAATGACAATGTTGAATTATTAAGAGTTCTTCCAATATTTTCTCTGCAATTATTTACAACAAATATGTGAATCAACATATAACCTTTCTGTAGTGTTTAGTTTAAGCTTTCTGTGGTCTCCTAGCAGTTACTAAAGGTTTAAAAATATCAGTATCTTACTAGAATGGCTAGAATGGCCTTCACATTATTGCCTTGACAGATATAGATTTATTTCAAAACTAAATTTACCTTCTTTTGAAAGGCAGAATGATTAAATGTTTGTCCAATCCAAAGATGCCAAAGGAAATAAATCCCTATGGAAGAATAAAAGTTGCAGTTATGAATTCAACACTAGAATGTTAAGACTGCGAGATTATGGAAGCCACCATATTTAGTAAACCCATAGTGATTAGAACAATATTTTAAATGGAACACACAAAGCAGACCTTCTAAAAGTTTAGTGCCTGGAGGCAATATGATATTTGGCTGCCTTTTTCCAGTCATCTATTCTACTAATTATGTTGGATAACTGGTTTAAACCAGTATCGAGCGACCACATCTGCATGTTAGCTTATTGAATAAAAATGAAAACATTTATGACCTTTGTCTTTTTTCCCTTTTAAAAAAGATGTTACCTTCTATTGTACTTAAGTATTTATTATTTTTCTGTTAACACTTCAGAAATTATAGAATTATATAGTATCTGATTATAATGAAGTAACTGAACAAACTTTATGTGAGATGAAATTGGCTAGGTGCTTAGGGAAAGGGTTTGAAGGATTTAGGGGTGATGAAGCAAACTGGCATCAGAAGTCACCCAGAGATTGGGACAACTGGGACAGCTTGGGGGGGCAGGAGGTTGGGAACTGCCATTTGTCAGGCTCAGTAGGAAAAGGATCTAAATGCAGGTTGGTGGGAAGTGGGATGGGCAACGTAATATATTGCATGAAGGATCTACCTTTCTTCACCCAAACTAGAAACAACCAAAAAGGAATGATCTTACTATAATACCTATATGGGATGTGGTTGTGGGGGAGGATTTTCTCTCTCTCTCTCTCTCTCTCTCTCTCTCTCTCTCTCTCAACATTTAGGGCATTAGTCATGGGGCATCATTTCACATGCAACATTCCTGGCATGAGCTTCTTTGTTTGTGAAGCGTTCTCAGTCCCAGTCTTGAGGTGACTCAGCCTGGAGTGTCTTTCCTGAATACAAAATGCTGAGTCAGACTATGAGTTTTCAACCTAGTATTTTATACAGAATCACAAAGTGAGGTGGGCATCAAGTAGCTTTGGGATACTCAAGTCTACTTGTAATAATAGGTCACTTCTCTCTCTGGACATAGTCATTTTGCTCCCACAATAATGGTAAAACAAACTGGAAATAGTTCAAGAAATTAATGTTAGGGTACAATGTGTAGGAGTGTTTACTGTTAAATATTAACTGACTCAGTCAATTATTAAAACCAGTGATTTCAAACACAGTATTTTTTTCAACCTGATACTTAATCTGGGGACTAATATTCCCTAATTAAAAAGTAAAGGATTGCAAACAAAATCATATTTTGAACTTTACACAGAAAAATATCTTCCCAATACATAAAATATCACTTATCCTTAAATATCCGTTTTAATAGTGACATTAAACAACAGCAACTATTCTATTAGATTTTCATGGAATTTTAGTTTCTAATTTTTAAACCTGAGAATGATAACGTCTACTTTGTAAGTATTCTTGCGATGTTTAAGTAAGATGACTAATGTAAAATGCTTAATAATGGCTGGCATATACTAGGAGGCCCTCAAAGTATGGTAACTACAATCCTTGGCCAAAATTTATTTATCTACCACATGATTTTCTAAAAATGATTTAAGTACCTGTTGTCCAAGAAACACTGAAATGAAATGATGTTCAATTTAAGTGACTAAACTAAAGGCTCAGAGAAGGTAGGTCTTTTTCCCAAAGTGACTTCTTATGACCATCACAAAGTTTAAAAAGAAGCTGGAACATCTTGTCCCTGCTTAAATAATCACTCTTCATTTTAAAACCAAAGCAAAAAACGACTTGGTATTTCTGACTGAAACACTCCGCGTGCATTCTGATGACTTGAGCCAACATGGAGACCAACAGCTGTCAGCTGTCACGCTAGCAGCTGGCAAACCAACTAAACCCTTTTGATTCAAAAGAAAACAACAAGATCCGCACGGCTACCCCCCCAAACAGCCCATCCAGGAAAATAAAAAAGCTCTCAAAATTCCCAGGAAATAAATACCTGGCCAAAGTTAAACACAGCACAGAAAAACTGTAACTCGACATAGAGTCTTCCAGGTTCTTGGTTGAATAGCCACCATAAACAACTGGAAAGATTCTGGGAAGGAAGGTGAAAATAGTGTTTTAAAATGAAGCTAGCTAAATCATTTCTCTCCACCCAGAACACAGTACAATAACTTATCTGCTTAATAATTAGGCAGAAAAAGACTAAAAGGAAAAACACCGAGAGAATATGGAGGCTTTGTCTTTTGAACAAGAGGTTTCAACCTCTCCTTTTGACAGATGTCATTCAAACAGCAATTAATTTGATCAGACTTGAAGCAAGAAGACATGCGCCATAATACAGAAGCTTACATAATACATCAGGACTGCCGACTAGCCTAAGACAGGACTGATTTTAAAATTAGTTCTACACAATGAAAACAATCACATCACTAAGCAGCAGTTCTTGGCAGCATTTCTTACTTTTTGATTTTTGTTCTTAAATAGCAGCTAAAATGGTGCTGGTTGATAGTATTCTATGTAACGAGCATCCCCATGTAAAAAAGTTCCTTTATAGGTTATTTGGCCTATCTCCCATCTCTAGGCAAGTTACGCCTGAACCATCTCAAAGAATTATATAATAATAACTGATAATTCACAAAAGAGGACATAAAACTAATTAAAAAAAAACCCCGTAATCAGGGAAATGCATTGGAAAAATAAAGTGCTATATTTCACTTATAAAATTATCAAATTTTGGGCAGCCCTGGTGGCACAGCGGTTTAGCTCCGCCTGCAGTCCGGGGTATGATCCTGGAGACTTGGGATCGAGTCCCACATCGGGCTCCCTGCATGGAGCCTGCTTCTCCCTCTGCCTGTGTCTCTGCCTTTCTCTTTCTCTCTCTCTGTGTCTCTCATTAATAAATAAAACTTTTCAAAAAAATAAATTAAATAAAATCATCAAATTTTAAAATTTATAATGTTCAGTACTGGTGAGAGTACTTTTACAAACCTATACTACTCCTTCAGAAAACAATTTAGTAGAATGCATCCAAAGGCACAGAAATATTTATACTCTCTGATCCAGATTTCCCAACTTTGAGAATCTATCATATGGAAATATTGCATGGAGATGTTTATTTAAGCATTTTGAAAAACTAGGAATAATCATCCATTAGAAAGTGGTTGAGTAAATTATAATGTATCTCCTCTATAGTTTATTGAGGAGCCATTTAAAGTAACAGTTATGAACGACTATGTAGCAAGCAACACGAAAATGGATGACATAAGTGACAAAACAGGGTATCAATCTGTATGACAATTAGAACCATGAAAAATGTATTTAAAATAGAAGGCAGCAATTTTATAACTATCTATTGTATGAAGTGGTTGTGTTATTTTCAAAATGAAAAATTCTTTTTAAAAGTTTATTTATCTGAGGAATATCTTCTGTGAGACCACGTGGGCATTTATCTACCAAGGTCAGTCACAGAAGGAATACATTTGAATAAGCGGCTCTGCGCATGTGTGGAGAAATACCTGGTCTTACCAAATAAATTCTAGGTTCAGAGAATAGAGCAAGTAAGTGACTCTAAGCAAAATAGGCTATTGGGGCAGCTAGGCAACAGAGTGCTGTGAATTCTTCATTCCCTCTTCTCTTTTTAAATATTTAACTTATTTATTCACGAGACACACAGAGAGGAAGGCAGAGACATAGGTAGAGGGAGAAGCAGGCTCCCTGTGGGGAGCCCGATGTGGGACTCCATCCAGGACCCTGAGGTCATGACCCGAGCCAAAGGCAGAAGCTCAATCACTGAGCCACCCAGGTGTCCCTCTTTATTCCCTTTTCTCCCCAGAACAGCTCAAGATCAGGATTCAGGTTGGCCTAGTTGCCACCCCCAACCCCCACCCCGGAAGCAGCAACCAAGTTTCTCCCAGATGCTTGAATCAAATCTTTGCCAAACATTTAAGGAAATGGCCCTAAAACAAAAATCAGAAGAAACATTTACAGCAAACAGGCCAATAATGAGAAGTAAACACAGCAACACATGTCGAGTCAGTTGCTGGTCTCCACTCTGTAGATACTGCTCCTCTTCCTGGACTAACATGCAGCTCTGGGAGTTACAGCGACTCACACAATGATCATCTATAAGACAGTAAGTACAACAATTTGTAATCAGAGCTTTTTATTTGAATGCATTTTAAATTTATAATGACTTTCTAAGCAAAACCAGCACATATGCACATTCAGCTCAGCATCAGTATATTATTTTAGATGAAATCTGAGGAAGGCTCCTTCCTGTGGTCTCACAAGAGTTCTACTTGTCAAGTGTTTTCATCCAAAAAAATACAAGTAGGATGCAATAGTTCCCTTCTACACTATTCAATATATATATATATATATATATATATATATATATATATATATATATATTTAAGACCGTGTTTACTATATATGCTTATAGAATTTTTCCACACCAAGATATACACAAATACTTTTTATTAAAGTAGGATCATATTACAGAGACAATTTGGCAGTCTTTTTTTTTTTTTTTTAACTTACCAACACTGGGTACTTCCCTCATGCCATTAGCTGTTATTATAGCCATTAACTATATATTACAAATATATATATCTTAATTTCTTTTTTATTTTTATTATTATTTTTTAAGATTTTATTTATTTATTCACGAGAGACACAGGGAGAGAGAGAGGCAGAGACACAGGCAGAGGGAGAAGCAGGCTCCATGCAGGGAGCCCGACAGGGGACTCGATCCCGGGTCTCCAGGATCAGACCCTGGGCTGAAGGCGGTGCTAAACCACTGAGCCACCTGGGCTGCCCTTAATTTCTTTTTTAAAAACTAAATTAATAACTCATGTTTCATCTATAACAAATCTACATACTGGTCACAGATACCCCAGTTTGGCCAACTGTAACACAAATTTATTACTCCCCACTGCCTTTCATTAAAGAGTTTAAAATCTGCCTTAGAAAAGGCCTTCAAGGGCAGCCCGGGTGGCTCAGTGGTTTAGTGCCACCTTTGGCCCAGGGCCCGATCCTGGAGTCCTGGGATTGAGTCCCACGTCGGGCTCCCTGCATGGAGCCTGCTTCTCCTTCTGCCTGTGTCTCTGCCTCTCTCTCTCTGTGTCTCATGAATAAATAAATAAAATCTTAAAAAAAAATCAAATAAAAGCTATTATACACCACTCTGTTCACATGCAGAACCAAGTCCAAATCACAGGTATGAGCCTTCTCTGGCCTGGAGTAGATGGGAGGGGCCTCTCCCGAGAAACCTTCATTCTCCTGCCTCAGCTCCACAACATATATAGCCTCAAAAGCAGGGGGCAAACATTTTTTACCAAATGGATGTCTAGTTTAAAATTTTTTTTTAAATTTTTTTAAAATTTATTTACGATAGTCATACAGAGAGAGAGAGAGGCAGAGACACAGGCAGAGGGAGAAGCAGGCTCCATGCACCAGGAGCCTTACGTGGGATTCGATCCCGGGTCTCCAGGATCGCGCCCTGGGCCAAAGGCAGGCGCCAAACCGCTGCGCCACCCAGGGATCCCCTGGATGTCTAGTTTAACGTATAGTCTGACTTTAAAAAGTAAAAGATGAAAATTACAATTTTATAGGTCTCAGCCCTTAAGGTAACAATAAAAGTTTGTATTTCTGAGAGTTGCTTTCCAGAAAAGGACATATGCAGTCATTAACCATGGTCTAACATTACGGCTAACGGCATGGGGGGTGTGCAGTGCTGCTAAGTGAAAAGAAAGCAGGCTGCCAAACTGTCTCTGTAGTGTGATCCTACCTCAATAAAAATTATTTGTATATATTTTGGTGTAGAAAAGTTCAATGAGTTACATGTATAATAAATCCAGCCTTAAAAAACTATGTACAGATATTACAAAAATGGATAAAAATACATTTTATTATCTTTCATTTGCCTTTTTCACACATTGCATATTGATGTTGCCTTTGTGCTGTGCCAGTGTTTTGAGGATGAGGAATTAATTATATTGCTAAATTCTAAAAATTCTCACTTATTCATGGTTTGATTCCCTTCAGCCTGTCTTTATTTTAGGCTTAGGAATGACACTAAGTTACATGAATAGATGAAGTCCATATACAATGGCTTTCTTTGTATATGGATTTCATCTTTATAATTTTTGCAAAATAGGATCAGAAAATCTAAGAAGCTCCTATAGAAGAATTTTCAGAAATCAGCATTACTCATGAAGAAAATGACAGATAAGAAAAGCATAACATAATTTTCAGAGAAAAAATATTAAATTACACATTGAATTTGTCGACAGACTTTCCTGTTAGGTGCACTGTGTAGGGAGAAAACATAAGGAGGAAATCCTTGGGAATTTTGATGTAAAGAAACATTAGTTCAGGACAGTGGCATACAAAAAGTGAAAGGCAGTTTAACTGAATGCCAAATGGGGTTTCCCAGCGGAAAGTCAGTGAAGGCCCAACATCTGATATATTTTCACTTCTTTCTACAGAAATGTGAATTCTACTATTCAAGATTCATTCTTAGCAGATAGCAGCCAAATATAAACCCCGTTTGACTGATAACACCACTACTACTGCAACTGCATGTTTAATGAGCATTTACTACGTATTCCCCACACTGTGCTAAGTGATTTGCATACTTCGTTTTCATAATCCTCACATTTCGTATATAAAAATGAAATGCCTTGGCAACAATGCAGTTGACATATGCTTTATCATGAAGATGACTTTCAGGGGTTTCCCTTTCTAACCTGATTACAAATGAGCATAATCAACTAAAGTACATTGCAATTTCACATAAGTGTGTCCAGTTGTTTTAAATAATTTGAGTTCCACTGTGTGTGCATGAGGATGGTCTGAGATGGTGACGCAGGAAGACCCTGAACTCATCTCCCTCAGACACACCAAACCCACCACTATATATGGAATCACTCCCACCTAAAAAGAACTGAAAACTGGCTGAACAGCTTCCTCCACAACAATGGGAAAAATGGCCACATAGAGCCAGGTAGGAAAGCCAGAAATGCCGTCCCACCACAAAGCTCACTCTGGGCACTGTGACACAGGATAGGGAAGGATCTGACAGGCCTAGAACTCTCTGGGGAGTGAGGGTTTGTGCTCCACATCAGGCACCCAAGCCTTGGGACCTGCACCAGAGAGATGAGGCCCCAAAAAAGTCTGGCTTTGGAAACATGGGGCTTACGTCCAGGGGACCCCAGGGCTATGGGGATCTGAGATACTCCTTTTGAGGGCTCATGCGTGGACTCACCCAACTGGGGAAGCAGCAAAAAGGCAGCAGTTTGAGAGGTGACTGGATTATATGTGAAGGAGATTCAAGTGCTAATCTTAAAGATTCACTGGACTTTTCCTTGCAGGGGGAGCTGCTGGAGAGTGCCAATTGTTGCACTCCCTCTCCCTTGCTGGGGCAGGCAGGTGTATGCAAATGTAACAGGGCTAAAACCAAGGCATGTCCATCCCAGAAAGCTCTTCTCCAGCCTTGCTAAAATTGCAGGTGTGCCCTGCCCCGAATGCTCTTTCACTGGACAGGCATGCCCTACACTCAACACTCTTCTCACAACCTTGCTAAAGCTGGTGGGTGAACTCAGTCCACATGGAGGACACTCTACTGCCTGGTTCTGGTGGCCGAGGAGGCTTGGGCTTCTGGGCTCCACTGTCTGTAACAACTGGGAAGATAGTTCTGGACAGGATACCATACCCTGGGCAATACACAGATAGCAAACTGAAGTATACCCCCAGGGTGCCCATGAAAAAGACCCATTTAATTGTCCAGGAGCTTTAACCTGAGGGATGAGCTGCAGGCTTTCCCCACCTCTACAGGTTACAGAAGCACTCTCAGAGGATGCAGGCAGGGAGGCACCAACTGTGCGTACCCCACCCCAACCCGGGCCTTGTTGCAGCTCACTGGTATCTCCCAGAAAGGATCGTTTACACTTGTCTGAAGCCCTGATTCTTGGCAATTGTCACCCAGGGGATACCTTCAGATCTCCTGGACTAGAGGTCAGCAGGATCTAGGACCATAGTCCAGCAGGATTGTATATATTTATGTACTTTAAAAGCTGCTGCCTGAGGATCTGGCTTCCCAGTCAGCCTGAATCTAGGTCCCTCCCTTTGGATGGGCCCTAACACACTCCCAACAACTGGAACTATCAAGAAAAAATCAGGCTACTTAGATAATCACAAAGGGTCTAGAGACAACCAAGAGCTAGGGCAAGGCGGTTATCAGAGAACGGGGTTAGGGGGAGGGTGAAAAGAGTGAAGGGGGTCAATTGTATGGTCACGGATGGCAACTAGACTTATTGTGGTGATCATTGTGTAATGTTTACAAATATTGAATTTTTATGTTATATACCTTACACTAATATAATGTCACATACCAATTCTAGGTCAAATAAACAGATAACCTGAAATTCAGACCACAAATGTAATTCAGTCTCTTACCCTATATGTCAAAGGTTATTACTTTCAACGTTTTTTCTTGTTTTATATGAAAGAATATATTTAAAAAATATAAATTCAAAATATAATTAAGCACCAATTGGTTCTGGCCCTGGGGGAAATGATTGGGGGAAAAGTCTCAGCTGCTAAAATAAGAAAAAAGCCTAAAAGATTGGTGTTTGGGGCAAACTTCTCAGAATTACCACATGGGTTAAATCTATTGGAAAATATGTGTTTAATAGTACCAATTACTATATTTTATTATTATTATCATTATTAGTATTTTAAGTAGGCTCCATGTCCAGTATGGAGCCCAACTCAGGGTTTGAACTCATAACCCTGACACTAATACTCGAGCTGAGATCAAGAGTCAGGTATTTAACTGAGCCACCCAGGTTCCCCGAACTTTATTTTTTATTTTTTATTTTTTTTAACTTTAGTTTTTAAAAGGAGTACTCTATGCACAATTGTTATCTTAGTAGCACTTTTCCCTATCTTATTTGAAAATACATAAGCACTGCAGCTTCAATGAAATCCTAAGCTGAAATCTTTTAAGGTATAAGGAGAGGAATCTTCTGTTCCTTTGGCCCATCCTCATAGCCTGGAGGCACTTACTTTTCTCAAACGAAGGAGTCACAAGCCCACTGGTGCTTGTGTTTGCTACTGGCTCAGTGGATTGGCAGTGTAATCCGCCATTTCCCATGGAGCAGGAGCAGCAACCTATATAAATGAAACAACATAGGAGATTAAGGCCCAACCACAACAAAACAGACAACTTCAAGAGATGCCAAACAAAACAACCTCAAATCAAACCAAACAACCAACCCACTAATACACACACACAAATTTCCCATGCTGTCACAATGGGAATGTTTTTACATGATGTCTATTGAGAAGATTTTACATGTGTTTACAAGGAAGCTAACATTTAAAGAGCAGCAGACAAAGGACCGGCTCCTTTATGTATTGTCTCCTCATTGCATGAGACAAGGAAGAGTGTTTTTATTCATGCTAGTTACCACTGTGCTTTGAGACTAAGAATTTGAACACTTTCTTCAAATACGGGTTTTATTTCATCACTCCTTAAAAACATGCATTAATGCTCTATTGTTTACTGTAGTTAATTCAAACTCCTTGGCCTGAACTCGAAAGCTCTCAAGGACTTGGCTCCTCTCTCCCTATCCAACCACCCCAACTATCCAACAAGGCCTCTCTCTTCTTTCAGGACAATTCTTTAGTGTCCTCCACGAATCCCATGCCTCTTTGGGTCTGCAGACTTAGTTAGACATGCGTGGGATTCCCACTCTTGTTAATTCTTTGAAATCCTTGCTTCCTTTTTGTTCAGTCCAAGACTTGCCTCTTTCAAGAAAGTGTTTCTTGCTAGTCTAGAAAATGCAGTACAGAAAATTCTATTCTTTTGTCTTTTCAAATATATACTGCTAAAAATCTCTCTCTGCTTTATAGGTAGATTGGTTTACAGAAGTCGCACTGAGACATCTGCTATAAAGCTGCAGTTATTCCTCTACATAGTCAGAGAATGCATTCAGTGTCCTTTAAACATTTCACACATATAAGACATGATACTCCTCGACATGGATTCTGTTTTTTTTTTTTTTTTGACATGGACTCTAATAGAATAATAACTTCAGTGATAAACTGTATTGAAATTTAATATGCTACAGAGAAAGGAATAATGCCTAGGCTGAAACTTTCATTGATAATATGATTTAAATCTTCAGCAGTGTTCTTAACAGAAAAAGATTTCAAAGTATAAAAATTATAGCCTATAATAAGCTATTACAAGTGTCTTACTAAATTTAAGATAATGACGCTATCTCAAGGTTAAAATGGAACCACAGAATGATAGAAGAGAAAATACAGAGATCATCTGGCTCAGCCCACCTATCTTCAGAAACTTGGAAGACTTAATTCAGCTAAGATGAAATTGTTCAGAAAACAGATATGAAGCCAGCGCATTCCGATGACATACATACAGGGCATGCATGCGAATGCACACACACACATGATTACAGCCACCATGAGAAGTGCTATGGCAGTTTTTATCTTCTAACATAAGAGGGATAACTAGCCTGTTAGCTTTTTCTTCTATAAATAAACTTTTGATCTCATATTAAAATACGTTAATTTCCCTTTCAATCATAATTCCATACTTATAACATGCACAAGTCATGGGTCTCTGACAAATGTGTAGCAAGGGATAGAGGTGAGTCAACTGTTTTGGAAAGAGATTTGGGGAGGCCAGGTTGGACATCCAATGTGTTACATGTTAACACTACTAGTGAAGCAGAAGAGAGCAGGATTTGAGGAAGGAGAATAACCACACAGATCTTCCCCCCTAGCAACATGGGTCAGTAGGGATATAAACAAGTACTTTGCTATGGCAATTTGCAGGGTAGCTTCAGAAAATCATGGTGTAACTTATCCAGCCGGGCATCTGCCCATCCATTTAACAAATATTACTGAACACTGAAAATAAGACTGATGTGGGGCACCTGAGTGGCTCAGTGGTTGAGCATCTGCCTTCGGCTCAGGTTGTGACCCTGGGGTCCTGGGATCCAGTCCCACATCGGGCTTCCCACAGGGAGCCTGCTTCTCCCTCTGCCTATATCTCTGCCTCTCTCTGTGTCTCTCATGAATACATAAATAAAATCTTTAAAAAATAAAAAATAAAATAAAAGCAATTATAAAACAGTGAGATGTGACGAGAGGAAAAAAGAAACACTGCAGAGGATTTCCTGTGGAACCAAGCAATAGCTGTCCTTTGGCTCTTTATTTATTTACATTACAGGACAAGCTAGTTTTCCTGTTGGAGATAATGATGACTGAGTTTAAAGAACATCAACGGTGCACTTTATTTGTTATTTTTAAAATACAGATAGAGGAGTGCCTGGGTGGCTCAGTCAGTTGAGCAACCGGCTCTATTTCAGCTCAGGTAATGATCTCAGGGTTGTGAGATGGAGCCCCATGCCAGGCTCAGTGCTTAGGGAGGAGTCTGCTTGAGATTCTTTCCCTCTCCCTGCACAACCCCCCCCTGCCCCCCCGTATGTGCTTGCTCTCTCACACTGTCTCTCTCAAAATAAATAAATCTTTAAAAATAAAATACAGGTAGCGGTGGCAGCACGAGGCTCTGGGCTTAAGACACTTTGTTTTGTGTTCCCCACACACATTATCAGGCCTTCTGTTGTCAGTTCTAAAACACTCATGGGGGACGAAGACACAAAGAGCCAGCCAGAGTGGTATGCTACAGGATCCTTTATAGGATCATTCTAGGTGTCCACAGGGGAAGTGAGGAGGAAGAGGGTGCTGGGCAGGATCAGAAAAGTATTCCAGACTTAGGGAAAGCAACTTTTAAAATTTTAGTGAAAACATCATAAGTAACATGCTTGAACCTCCATTTTAAAAGGGAAAATGTTGGGGGAGCCCGGTGGCTCAGCGGTTTAGCGCCACCTTCAGTCCAGGGCGTGATCCTGGAGACCTGGGATTGAGTCCCACATCAGGCTCCCTGCATGGAGCCTGCTTCTCCCTCTGCCTGTGTCTCTGCCTCTCTCTCTCTCTCTCCCTCCCTCTGTGTGTGTGTGTGTGTGTGTCTCATGAATAAATAAATAAAATCTTTAAAAAAATAAAAAAATAAAAGGGAAAATGTTGAAGAGGGCTCAAAAGAATGAATTTCTGAATGCTTAAAAATGAAAAATGAGCGAGGACCATTAATAATATGAACTAAAGGAGTCCTGACAGAAACAGGGATGGGATGGTCTATGTCAGGAGTTGGCAACCTACAGTCCTATGTGGTAGGACCCTATTGTCCCATGAGGTAAGGATCATCAGCGTCAGATATGGAAATTGAGGCAGAGGGAACTTGCTCAAATCACGGAGCAGTAAGCAGTAATTAAGTAACTCCAAATCAATGAGTCAGGATCTGAATCCAGGAAGTCAGGCTCCAGTCTCCACTTTTAGCCGCTGTGCTCTATACTTCCAGGCTGGGATGGAGGAAGGGAGGGTGTGAGGAGGAGGCAATATGAAATGGTAAGATTTGTGGGATCTTCTTCTTTTTAAGACAAAGATAGTTAAACTTTTCAAATCTTTCTCTTTTTTTAAAATCATTTACTTCTTTTTTTTTAAATTTTTATTTATTTTATGATAGTCACAGAGAGAGAGAGAGAGAGAGAGAGAGAGAGGCAGAGACATAGGCAGAGGGAGAAGCAGGCTCCATGCACCGGGAGCCCGACGTGGGATTCGATCCGGGGTCTCCAGAATCGCGCCCTGGGCCAAAGGCAGGCGCCAAACCGCTGCGCCACCCAGGGATCCCTAAAATCATTTACTTCTTACTGATATTTACAATTAACAGTTTTGAGATAGTCATCCCTCTTCTCCAGAAAGTCTCTGAACAAAACAGGCATAGACTTCCTGGCAAAATGTTTTCGGTCCATGAAATCTCCACATCCACCAGTGAATCCAAAATGCACACTCTATTGTTGAGTTCCCTTCCTGAATTGAAGCCAATCCCACAACAATTGTTAACACTTTTTACCAACTTACTAGTTAGGAACATATTTGCACTTACAGGATTGGAAAACATTTTCTGTAAAAGACCAGATGAGGCTTTGCAGACCCCCGGGTCTCTGGTGAATGACTTAACCCTACCAACATAGTCTGAAAGCAGCCAGACGCAATACATAAATGTATGAGCCCAAGTAGGTTCTCAACATCATGAAAATTGAAATTTAAAGTTCATATAACTTCCAAATGTCACAAAATATTTTTTTAGAAATTTTTCTTCAAGGCTTTAAAAATGTATAAACTAGTCTTAGCTCTGGGGCCATATAAGAGCAGGTGATGGCTCAGATTTGGCCTGTAGACTATAGTTTGTCGATGCCTGACTATTAATTCTGCCAAAACAGGCCTTCAGCTCACTTGGTTGATGGTGCTCACCTGAGACAATATTGTCAGATTAGCATGTGTTTGAAGTGCCTTCTTTCCCTACAAAGGGACGTCCTTCAGTTGTCACTTTCTCCTAAACTCTCAGGTCCAAAGCCATTTTAGGATTTAACATAAGATTATTCACATAAGATTATTCTCACCAAAGATTTATGAAGTCAACTCTAAAGAAGAACTTGCAAGCTCTTTCTATTACTATTATTCAAGTCCCTCACTTGACAAATACACGTGATATTCAAGATAGTTCAAGGAAATTCCCCGAAGCCAAACATTTACGAGACATGCTATACAGGCATGTAAGAGTTTCTTTATATGTAAGGATCATACCTGTTTCTGGGATAGAACTTGTAAAAGGTTCCGGTTCATTTACTGGCACTGAACTCTCCTCAAAAGCGGCGTTCCCAGGCTCTGCTGCTTTGTCATTCTGAGACTGGTCGAAACCTTCATAACGTCCTGCTTGGGTGGTGCGGTTCATACACATGAGTGAGATGCCAGCTATCACAATGCTGCAGAACAGGGTGACTGCTGTGATGATCATCTGCCAACATCGCAAAAAGACATTAGGCCACTTTTCACAATCCCAGCTCGATAATCTTAGTAGAGTAGCTTAAGGGAACTGCTGTTTGGTGGGAAATGCATTATCTCCACAGCTATAAATGCTCCCGAACGGTGGTTCTCAAGAAAGAGTAAGAGTATGAAAGGCATGTAAGTTACTTGAAGAGAAATCAGGATTTGCTTGGAATCATACGACTTCTAGATGCTTCTTTCACTATACACCAATGTCATTGGTTTCCTCTATAAGGAGTCTGAAGGACTGCTTACAGACCTTTTTTATTTCAAAGTTTTTCCTTGCTTTAATATGCAGTTCAACCATACTCCAACTAGAGACTCTGCAATGGTAATAATATTAAACATAAATAATTCTGGCTAATACTAATTGAGTACTAACATATGCCAGCACTAGTCGAAGTCTTTTATATGTATAATCTTATTTATTCTCATGACAACCCAATAACATTCAAAATTATAAAACAGAAAAAAGAGGATAAGAAATAAAAATCTTTTGAAGGTTTTTTTTTTTTTTTTTTAAACACACATGTTTGGGTCCTACCCCTAGAGAATTCTGATCAGCTGAGACACTACAGCTTCTTAAGCACACTTTTCCCCAGACACTTACTATTCTGAAATTTATATTTATAATAGGATTGAAAGTCAAGAACATGGCTTTTATTATTACTGCTAACTCATTAAATATCTTTAAATTAATCGCTCTTCCAGTAGAGGAAGCATAATTCATAAGTTTTCCCTCCTGTATTATTTCTTTACTCACTTATTGGGTTTAAGAAGACCCGATAAGTCTCAAGCATTTGGAAATCCTCAGCTAAAAATGAATATAGATCTATAAAATCTTTACCACATTTTGAGGTGTGACTTAAAGTGATATAGGATCACCAGTGGGATATGCAATAAATTGGAACAGATTTTTAAATCTGTTCTTCTAAATGTAAGTATAGCAGAACCTAGGAACAAACTAAAGAGAGATGTTCCCAAGAACTGAACTGTCAATAAACTCTTCTTACCTGCTCCTTTCCATAAAAGAAAGCTGAGTCAATGCTATCTCCATTATGTTTTCCAGTTATCAGAAGAACACCAACAAGGAGAGCAGGAATTCTGTAATAAGGTTTAGAGAGAGAAAGAGAGGATGAATAGTAACTGAATATATGGAAAACATGTAAGCAAACAGAAAACTATCAACTTACCCCCAGCCAGATATGATGATGATTCCAACAGGAATTTGTACACTCTCTCTCTTTTTCAAAAGAAACAAAGAAATTGCCAGAAGGCCTAGGAACAAGAGATAGATATTGAAAGGTCAATAATGATTCTCGATGTTGGTCAGACCTCATAGAACTTTAACCAAGCTTATTTCAATGGCAGTCTATGGTTTTGGCCCTAGAATTTACTCTTTCCAAATAAATGCTGTCCCCAATATTTTGAAGCAAGTTTGACTCAAAGTCATTCATGTTTTCCCTCCTGTATTATTTCTTTACTCATATCTCCTTGTTTTATACATGAGGATGTCTTCAAAGGCCCAAATCAGTTTATTCTTTGGTCTGATGTGTTAGGAATCTAAGTATATTTGTTAAAAAAAAATCCAACTGGATACAGAGCAAGTCTAAAAAATAAGAACATCCTCATTTGCTGGTGCCGAGAAAGTATAGGCAATTCTTACCCAGGTTTAATTTTTGGAAAATGCCTCAAGTCTAAATGACAGAACTTAATACAAATATAATGTGAACTTTACACAGATATTTAAAAACTTTTGAGGGCTTCTTATACCTTAAACCCAATTATTCATACAAGTAATATCTTATTTAATAAATTCTACAGAGTTACAGAATCTTAGAACTTCAGAGTTGGAAGGGATCACTTTTAAATTAACACCTTCATTTAATAGATATGGAAACAAGGGTTTGCCCAAGCCACATAGCCAGCAGAGGGCAGAGCAGGACTACAAACCCAACCTGATTCAAGGTAAGTCCAACTCTCAGTGTTTCTAAGACTCGGAACCATGGCTCCCTCGGGTTCTTGAGACCTATTCTGCAGGATCTGGAAATCTCTATGAGAAATCCTAAGTCTATTGGTACATTTTCAATGATAATCATCTAGATGCCTATCTTATAACCAAAGCACAGTCTCATGATCTCAGAGCTAACATTTGGTTTTACATTAAGTTTGAGCCAAGTGAGGGCCAAATGATATCATAACACACTGTCCACGTGAAGGTTCTGTGGTAGTTTGAAGAGAGAAAAGCAGTGAGATGAACCAGGTCCTAAGCCCACACCTGAAAGTAAAGGCAAACCAGGCAAAAAAAAAAAAAAAAAAAAAAAAAAAAAAAAAAAAATCCTACCCAGAGAAAGGAGTTCCATTTTACATTTCAAGGTTGTGATTCAGATTATGTCATGTCAGTGAACGATGCTAATCAGAATTACTGAGTTTCTAATTGGGACTCTCATCTGTGAATCTGCTTCAGTTTTAAAGTTGTGTATTAGCTGTATATGAGGAATTCATACCCAGACCTAGGATTGGACAGATTAAGTAACACTGTGCTAGAATAATACAAATCAACACCAAGGCTCTTGAGAATTGTTTTTCATTGCAGGGAACCCACACCTTACTCAAGTTCAAGAGGCACTTAACTACCACTGCTCCTTCCTAAATATATTTGTGCACTCTACAGTTCTAGGATTTCAAAGTGCCAGGGAAATAAGGTACACAACGGTGTGCCAATTGTTCCAGTAGTGAGGGCACTCTTTAAAGTTCTTGCTTTATGAAAAGACTGACAGACAAATAGGCCCAGGCTAGCCCTGGATCTCTCTTGGGTTGCTGGTGGAAGCGGTGAGAGTTCCTGCCTGAATCAGTTAAACTCTTTCGGCCACATTTAACTCACTTGAAAAATAAAGGATGTGAACTACACCAGTGTTTCCAAAGTGTAGAGACTATAGGTGGTATAAGGGTGTTTATTTTAACATGTGCGTGAAAAACTAGCACACGAACCCTGGGATTTTATTAATATAAGGCTCGATTTATTAAAATAAAAAAAGTGAGTAAATTTCTGGGGAAAAATTAAAAAAAAAAGGACAAGTGGTACACAGATACGGCAAAAATTGTGAGGACCGTATGCGAACGAGCGAAACTAAAAATGGCTGAATAGGATGATTTAAAATGACACTGTAAGTCTAAAATTCTGTTTTAGCATAATAAGCTCAAGGTTAAAGAGTACCTTCATTGGGATCCAGGAATTCAGAACAAGGGCTCCAGATAGATTTTGGCATGTGTGCTTAAAGAGGATTTCAGGGATCCTTGGGGATTTTTGATACACTGATCTACTGGCTGCTCTCCTATTCATATGATCAATTTAGCCTTGATAAGCCTAAGTATTAGAGATCAGGTTATCCATGTGTATTTGGAAATAAAAGTCTTCAAGCTCTTTTACTTGACATCTCATGAGAACTCTTATGCTATGCAAGATGTGTCACCAGCTAGATCCCAAGACCTTTGTTATTTACTGCTCATCTGCTTGTACCCACAGACCTTTGTCTCACATTTTTCCTTAAGTTCTTCTTCCCAACTTAACTCAGGCAAAGGACCAGGGATAACATTGCCTGATGCAAACCAAAACTACCCCTCAAGCAACAGAGGAAGAGCTTTGTGGCCCAGGCCACCCACACCAGTTTGAACAAAATCCCTGACTTGCATGCACCCGTGCAGAAGGACTACGGAGTGACCTCTGGGGTGACCTACTCTTACCTTTACCTCATTCTAACACTAAAATCTCCACCCAAGGAGGAGCACAAGCCTCATTTACAGGGCATACAATGCATGTACAGCCACATATCCATAAGGAGCATGCGTGACCTTATGTCCGCCTCTACATATGATGACAAGGCTTCCCTATCTAAATATTCACCCTAACCCTAGACAAAAGGAACCCATTCACCCTTGCTTGGGGAGTCACAGCTTTGGAAGCTATTCCCTGTGATCTCCTTATTTGCTGCAAATAAAGTTTCCTTTGTGCGACAACTCACCTGGTGGTTTCTGTGACTCACCAAGGAGCCAACTCAACGTTGGTTTGGTTACAGATGTACTGCCTTTAAAAAGCACACACCTTCTCCTGTTCGCACTGAATTTTTCATTCTATTATTCCTCCCCACATTGTTGCTTCACTTCAAAAGGCTATTGACTTAGATGGGCCCTGCTTTTGATCTCGAAGGCATAAAATCAAAGGCCTGTCCCTCGAAGCCATTTCCTGACACCTGCCTCCCAAAAGTGGCTATCACCAGCCCTACCATGCTACAATTTCCTTTTATGTGCCATTTTATAGGTTCACGTTTGTGGTCTGAATACAAAACAGCCACACAGATTGTTTGGCAAACATACCAGAATGTATGCCTCCAAATAAATATTATACTTCAAAATGACAATAAGCTAAAATATTTGAGTATCTTTTTTTGGAGACAGTTGAAAAGAGAAATAGTTTCTTACTGGGTACTCTTGTATTTCCATTCCCTTGTAGTCCTTACTTTTCTTGTTCTTGTATAACCATTTCCCCTCTGTTTAATAATACAGTTTCAGTTGTTGACTGCCTACCATGTACAGGCATAAATCCCCTTATCTCACTTAGCTCTCAAAGTAACTGAAAGGTGTGATAATCCTGTCTCATGGATGAGGAAACTGAGATTGCAAAAGCTAAACTGTTTGCTGACAGCAGAGTCAGAATTTTTCACTCAGTTCAGTTGGACTCTCATAGTGAGCTCTGGGACATATCTCACACGCCTCCCACTTCTCTCCCATTCTCTCCCTCCTTTCTCGACTTGCTTCTAGTACCAAATATCTTGGTGTTTCCAAAAGGGAGCTGTGCTGACTGTGGCCAAGAGCCAAAGATCCTGAGGAAAAAGACCATGTGACTGGAAACCCCCAAACCCAGGCAGAAATAGAGTACTATTTCTCTATATCGTGGAAACAGAACTTGACTTTGCAGACTGCCTATGGTAGTGAGCGTAAGAGCCTGAGAGAATGTGTTAGTCCTGGATTACCAGATTTCAAATAGCTTCTAATGATAGAAGAGCTAAATTTCCAATAATTATCCATCTTACCTGTCCACAGGTAGGTACTATAGAGGGAGCTGTACAATAGAACAAACACCAGAATTTGTCCAACAAAATTTTTTTCTTTAACGAAATTCCATATCATCATTCCAGCACAGACAATAGACTAAAGAAAAAATTACAAACAAAGTCAGTCATTCATGTGAGTCAGACAAATGTTTGATTTGCAGCAAATTTATTATAATTATTCTTCTTAAAAGATTGCTGAATGATTATCATGCTAGTTATAATAAACGTTCAAGTTTTATGATAAAAGCCCTTCTTATAGTCTTTAACAGTATACATATTCAATTGAAACAAACATTCTAAATATTAAGCTTATACTTAGTAATGGTTTACATGAAAAATGCTAAACCTCTTTCCATCATAAACTGAGACTTGCAAAGATTTGACTAGAAGAATAAGATTGTGAGAGTTCAATTTTTAAGGACTTAATTGTTTCTATTAGAAAATACAAAGTGATCGCTGAACGACATTATTAGTTCAAGCCCTACTGTGGTATATAATAAGTTAAGCATAAATTCATTGTAATCAAGCCGTGATTGATTGCATTTCATAAAAAATACTTTCAAACTTATAACTGGAAAAACCCAGGAAAATAATTTTCCCCTCTATAGTAGAACAGTCAATGAAAAAAGCATAGTTCTAAGTATCTGTAGGTTTACTAACCTGAGCGATGAGTAAATTAGTTGTAAACATATGAGGGAGCTGTTTATATTTCTTACTCAAAAGAAGAATAGCCAGAGACCAGATCTTAAAGACAAAAGGTTCAAAAGTTATTCAGGTTTCTTAACCTTTATAACTACTTATCAAATAACTCATTGATTAGCTTCTTTAAAGGATTCTCTTTATCTTGCTCAGAAAGAAATTCCAATATTTTACTTATTGTTAATCTGCCTAGTTCCCAACAGAATATTAAGGCAAATTACTATATCCAAAGTAAAATAAACAGCATGGAGATGCAGTAACATGGATGGACCTAGGAGGTATTATGCTAAGTGAAATAGAGAGAGAAACACAAATACTCTATGATTTCACTTCTATGTGGAATCCAAATAACAAAGCAAATAAACCAACAAAACAAAACAGAAACAGACTCATAGACACAGGAAACTGCTGGTCACCAGAAAGGGGAGGAGTTGGGTGGCAGGTGAAGGGTAGAGAGGGACTGAGAAGTACACTTATAAAATAAGTAAGTCCTGGGGATGTAATGTACAGCATAGGGAATATAGTAACATCGTAATAACTTCAATAAGTGACAAACGGTATCATGGGGATCACTTCATAATGTATAAAGATATTGAATCACTATGATATTCCCCTGAAACTAATAATTACATGTCATTTATATTTTGGGAAAAGCAAAGCATGGAGAGATCCTATCATAAATTAACTGTTTAGAAATGACAAGGTCTTTAAGAACTAATGTCTTGACCAAGGCCACGTTCTGACTTCCCGTACTTGTGTGGCTCGGTTAGGACACAGGCTCACTGTCAACTATTCAGGAAAAGATCTTTAGTGGGAGATACAGTTACAAGTCCTCTTCTAAGTTTTCTTCTTTTGATTCCACCATTGGTTCATGAGGTATCTAAATTCCAGGAAGTCTTTCTTAAAACAATACATATTGCCCACTTTAAGATGAATTGCCTTGCACTCCTCATATTTAAAAGGATTGAGTTTCTATTCTCCTTCTGAAGTGCCCAGCTAAGTATACTGGTTAGTGTCTTTCTTTCTTCTCCCCTCCTTATCAATTAAAATTTATATCATTTCTCTCCCCAGACTGTCCTCTTATCAAAGAACACAGATTTTAAGAATATGTAACAGAAGTAAAATTTCCTAAAAAATACATTAGACACACATTTATTCATTGTCCATATACATGTTCATCCCTTCCTCCTTCCTTTAACAAGCTGTTGTTTTTGTTTTTCAACCAGAATATTGCTTGAACTCCACAGGCAACTCGAGCTACAAGATACTCTAGTCATCAAATGTTTAAGTATTTAATTTGAACTAGATCTATCCAGAAAGTTTCATTAACATTAAATGGGTGGTTGGACGATTTCTTCCAACCCCATGCTTCTACAATTAGCTAATACTAGTAGTATTTGTATAGTGATTTGCCACTTGCTGATGCTTTTCACATATATCGTCATTAGGAAATCCTTAAAACAACCTGTGGAAATAGGTAAACTTAGTATCCCTATCTCCTACCTGAGAAAACTGGAGCTTAGAAAGGCTGAGACATACAGCTAGTTTGTGATAGGGCCAAAAGCCAATCCAGGTCTGACTAAATCTCATGCCTTGTCTGCTACATGACTCTAACTCTCAAAACGAAAGACACAACTCAGAAGGCTGGTATTATATTTTATGGGCAGGCTTTAGCTTTCTCTATGGCATAAGAGACTTTTAAAAACAGATTTTTAAATCCCTAACTTTCTGGTTACCAAGCTATTTTCAAACCTATTTTCAAACTCATTCTGTTTTCACTCATATTTACACTGAAATGTACTTACCAAGGAGACAAGGCTGATAATACTTATATCAAAACTAACATTCTGGATGGCATATGCCAATGGCTTAGGGTCCATAGTGGGAAAGGTTAGTAACCAGGCAGAAACATACATGATTGGTGCAGACACAAATGTGCTAATTACCATCCCTGAGGTTATCTGCAAAAAAATGAAATCAAATTGAGAAAAGACTCATAGCCTCAATTAAACAATGACCCTAAATTTTAAATAGCCACAGTACATTCTAAAATTAAAGCAAGAGTCAATAAAAAGACATTCTAAATTCCAGCATGTTCTCTAATACCATTCTCCCCCTTTCTGAGAGTTCTTAAAAGAAAGTTCCTTTGATTCCTCTTCCAATCCATGCTCAATTAATATTTGTACATAGCCAGAACTAGACATCCCAAGCTAATGGTTACCTTCTAGGTTCTCGAAAGTAAGCCATATTAATGATCTAACTAAACTGATGGCCAGTTTCCTTCCACACTATTTCATAAAATATAAAGCAATAAAATCAATTTGAAAAAAATTACCACATAAATATTTTACAGATTAAATAATGGAACTATCCTTTGTTAAACAATTTAGAACAAATGAAGTTCCTTCATGTTATATTTCAAAAACATTCAATGGTATAGATAACATGTACAATATGCTTAGACACAGCTAATAATTTAGTGTTAATTGATTACAGCTATTTACTGTAATTGATTATGTAGTGTTCTGCATCTGGTGAATTATCAGTGAATGAATCAGATTATTTTTACCCAAAACTTCAAAAGTTATCATTCTTTATAAATAAATCTTTAAGTTTTAGCATAACAATAAAATCCTTAAACAAAAAAAGACTAACAAAAAAAGTTATGGCTAAAAAAAGACCCCAGATTAAATAACTCTATTATTACCTGATGTTACATGATGCCTCCTTATTTACAATGAAGTAGCTTTCACTTATCAAATTCTCATTACAGAATGCTGATCTCTGTGTTTTAAAAATTCATTTTTTCTACTAACTGTACAAACTTAGAAAGTAGTAATATACATACAATCTCTACTTCCATGTTGAACTGTGTTGCAAAGATAGCCACTCCTGGTGCTACAGGAAAGACACCATACAAAAATGCATAATTTGATAAACTTGTATGGTTCACTACACTGTCGCCCTTGTCCAAGAGTTCCACCATTTCTCTGCACAGAAGTGGCAGCACCAGGCTGAAAAAAATAAGTAAGGTGTCATTCACTTGATATTAAAGCACACTGGTCCCCAAGGGGGAGACTGTTCTAGTGAACCTGGCATTAGGTTATATTCCTCTTTTCCCCAGAAGGTATACCTATTTGCATGCACAGAGTCTCTGCATGCCTACTTGCGAACATTTTGAAAGAATCAAGAATTCAACTAAAGTCATTTAGATGTAACAATATTCTTTTTTTTTTAAAGCAATTTTTTAAAATTTTTATTTATTTATGATAGTCACACAGAGAGAGAGAGAGAGAGAGAGAGGCAGAGACACAGGCAGAGGGAGAAGCAGGCTCCATGCACCGGGAGCCCGACATGGGATTCGATCCCGGGTCTCCAGGATCGCGCCCTGGGCCAAAGGCAGGCGCCAAACCGCTGCGCCACCCAGGGATCCCTAGATGTAACAATATTCTAAGAAATACTTTCAACATCAAGGATTAGGAGGAAACAAACTCAGCTTTGGTTCTACAAATAATTTTCTTAAAAAATTTTTTTAGAAGTTTTAACTGTAACTGCTATTTTTGTTTCCTCTACTAGAAAATTTAAATGTTAAAAGAAAAAGACTGATAATCTGAGTAAACTTTTTTCAAGAAAATTACTAAACTTCTTTTTGGAAAGAACCCTGATCTTTGTTTTGATTTGGGGTTTAAATTGTTCAGGTATTGATAACAATGTGGCTCAATTAGATTCTGAAAGCCACGAGAAAAATAGACATCTTACAATTACCTCTTCATCACTATAAAGACAAAAAGAAGTAATTGAAACAACCAAGGCAGAGCAGAAAAGTAGTGAAATCCAGACCTGGTGAAGAGTCAATTATTAAATAAATCCTTCAGGATTCCATAGAAAGAGAATAAAAGGGTAGCTGAGCTAATGAAGCTTTCCTTTAAGAAGAATGAGGCCAGGGTTGATAACATTGTCATAGCAGCACCTAGAGATATGCTCTAGTATGAAATACAAAACTGCTCTTATATGTATTTTTAGTTAAGTAAAAAGATTAAAAATAGCTAATAGGGATCAAAGATCCAGAAAAAAACATTTTTTAAGACAAAAAATTTTTAAAATGAGAATATTTCAGTTGAAGTTGACAACACTATTAACATTAGAATCATGTTCATTTCTGAGGCAATACTGATTAATACTTTGTTTCCAGGGCACTGGGGTGGCTCAGGGGTTGAGTGCTTTGGGCTCAGATTGTGATCCTGGGGTCCTGGGATTGAGTCCTACATGCCTATGTCTCTGTCTCTCTCTGTGTCTCTCATAAATAAATACATAAAAATCTTTTTTAAAAATACTTTGTTTCCAAGGAGTATAACACCACATTATAAAAAATTTTCAAAACTTATATTCATTTTTGTTATTTTGAAAATATAGATACTATTTCATACTGCACTGCTTTCATGAATTTAACTGTCTATACAAGAGCTAATTCTGATATTTAAGTATGCCCCAAGTTCCTTGGGGTAGTGTCGCCGTAAAATTATGTCACCTGCACCATGAAGTGTAGTTCTATGGCTAATGAGCTAAGTAAGCTAAGGAACTGCTAACTAAGGAGCTGATAAAAACTTCATTTGATAGGCTATGATCAGATAGTAATAATCATTTGTACAGACTTCCCTATTTAGAAAGATCAATCACCCACAAAATTATAGGATATTTCTCCAAAATGCATGAAAAAAAGCTTATATTCAAAATTATTGTTTTCATCATTACTAATAGGGTTTTAAAAGATTTGGAAGATTCAGAAATCCTGTAAAATTGCATTTATTTATTTATTTAAGATTTTATTTATTTATGCATGAGAGACATAGAGAGAGAGGCAGAGGCACAGGCAGAGGGAGAAGCAGGCTCCATGCAGAGAGCCTGATGTGGGACTGGATCCCAGATCTCCAGGATCACGCCCTGGGCTGAAGGTGGCACTAAACCGCTGAGCCACCCGGGCTGTCCTAAAATTGCCTTTAAATATATGATCAAACTGGGATATTAGGAGATACTAAGTAAAACTATATAAAAGTTAAGGGGAAGCCAACAGTCTTTATCTTCTGGCAATAAAATGGAAAGAATAGCCCATACAGAATAAGGCAATAACTTTCCACAATATACCAACATCATTTTCCTTTATTTTATTTTTTTTGAAAATTTTTTTTGTTTTATTTATTTATGATAGGCACACAGTGAGAGAGAGAGAGGCAGAGACACGGGCAGAGGGAGAAGCAGGCTCCATGCACCGGGAGCCCGACGTGGGATTCGATCCGGGGTCTCCAGGATCGCGCCCTGGGCCAAAGGCAGGCGCCAAACCGCTACGCCACCCAGGGATCCCCCATCATTTTCCTTTAAATCACAACTACTCAGGAGGGAGTATTACTACCAGAGTATTTAAATGAGAAAATAGTTGCAGACACATCTAATGAACTGGCTAAATAAGGCTTTCCCAAAATACAGTTCCCAAGTTAAATAAATTAAACTTACAGTTTAGCTGTGATGAGAAGAATTAGTACAACAAATGCTGACTTCTTCAGTTTCTTTATTTTTCCCACCATTGTAAGACCAAGATAAAATAGAGCTGATCCGGAAAAAGAATTTGCAAGTCCATCAAGAAAATTTTCCATATATACGGGCACCTTTTGATCAAGAATAAAATTGAAGGCAATGCCAATGAAAACCATAAATACTATTGGGTTCTGTAATACACGCAGAAGTCCAAGTCCTACAATTTTCACTTTGTTTTGAGATGCATTTTGAGTGTCTTTCCACTTCTGGATTTCACAGAAGATAAACCCTATAGGGTTTAACATCATAAGAGATATTGGTGCCACCAAGTAAATGTACTGGAGATATTCTGGGTATGTAGTTTGATATAAAGCTTCAACTGCAAAACATGAATTAAAATTGTTTTAAAAATGATCACCACAGAACTACATTAATAAATTACATAATGTTTTCTATGCTTAATTATAACATATTTTAAATTAATATAAATAGTGCACAATGACCTCATTAGCCAACTTTGGAAAAGTAAATTTTAGAAATAAAGGTGAAAAGGAAGAAAAGCACACTATATTAAATGGTATTTAGCTTATAAAATAATAATCAACTTTAAAAAATCATTGTTAGTGGGGATCCCTGGGTGGCTCAGTTAGTTAAGCACTTGACTTATGCTCAGGTCATGATCTCAGGGTCCTGGGGGATTGAGCCCTCAGCTGGGCTCCCTGCTCAGCGGGGATCCTGCTTCTCCCTCTGCCCCTACCCCTTCCTCCCCCTCCCTCTTTCTCTTAAATAAATAAATAAATAAATAAATAAATAAATAAATAAATAAAATCTTTAAAAAAAATTACTGTTAGTGAAACCCACTAATTTTTAATATGTAGAGGCTAAGACTAGTCTCAGTAAAGGGGCAGAATTCTTAAACAATTCCAAGTACAAATCTAGTAAGAAATTATACAAGTAGTAATAGCAACAAAGTGGTTTGGTTCCCTTGAGAGAGGTTGCACTGGAGTAGGGAACCAAAACCAGACTACAAAGGTTAGAGAAGGGAGTAGCACTGGAGGCATAGAGTCCAAGCTCTAATGGAAAAGAAATGAAGATGGGAGTTGGCTCTCAGATAAAAAGCAGAGGAGTCAGGGACTGGAGTCCCTCCAAAATCCAAAGATGACAAGTAGTTGGAAGGTCAGGAGTTCAAAGTCAGATAGTTGACCTACTGAATTTAATTTTTCCCAGATGCCGTGGTCCAGGATGTGCTGTAGGAGTTGGTGGCTGAAAGGGAGCAGAGGAAAACATCACTGGAGATGGAGAAGTCAGGGAACTGAGAAAGGGGAGGATTTAATGGGTAGTTCCCATTGATGCTAAATTCAAACAAGATAATGGCAAAACTTGGAAGTCGAGATGACAATGAGCCAGATATTAAAATCTTCACTAAATGAGGAAGAATGATCAGAATGAGGTCAGTGATGACAGCAAGGAGGATGAACAAAAGAGCAGAGAATAATGGCCTAGCAGAGGTAAGAGATGGCTATGAGGATGCCGGCTCCACCTATCACCTATTGTACTATTGCTCACGTGGGATGCAGGTGAAGAGAAAATAAACAGCCTCCAATTGAGAGAAATAAGGAATGAATGCCTTTAGGAAGACCCTGTGAAGATGCTGAAGATTTAGGAATGAAAAGGTGGGTCTAAGGAATATTCGCGAACGGAATAGAGTCATGTCAATGCATATTTAACTAACACAAACTCAAACTATACACTCTTAGGAAAACAAAAGATTTATTTTCTCCCCCATCAGGCATGTTCCCAAATGCAAACTAATTATTTTACCTGTTCATTGAAGAAAAACGCTAGAGAAAATAAATCTGGCTGCTAGACTTACGAGAAATGGTACAAAATGCACAAAGTATGTGCGTTGCATTTTGTGGGTGATTTAAGGGATTTTCAAGGATTTGACTATACATGATGACTTTAGAACCTAACCAGTGCATAAAATGAGTCTCCTAAAAAAATAAAAATAAAAAAATAAAATAAAATGAGTCTCCTTGGAAGGGGGCAGGTAGGTTGGATCAGACTTCTAGCTGTTTGTTGATGGACATGAGAGCTGGTGGCCTGGTGTTGGGTTGTTCAGAGCAACCTAGAGCCTTAGAGTAACCAACCTGGTCTTTAGGCACATTTTTTGGCAACGAGGTGTGAAATTCAACCTAACATATAAAGGATGATTCATAGATGATTGAAGGTTGAGAAAGAAAGATTAAAAACAACAACAACAACAACAGCCACAATCATTCGCAAAGACAGAAGCGATCATGTGAAAAAATGTAAAAGATTAGATTTCTCAATTTACATTAAGATAAAGTTCCACAGGTAGGAAAATATATTAGTTTACTTACTCAGGATACATAAGTTCAGTTAATGTCATGCACTTGTCCTGTTAAAGTTATGTAACAAGATTATATAACCTTTAGAAATCTACCTGGCTCTCATTAGCTAAAACCTACTTTTGTGTAGGATTCGATTCCCCCTTTTTTTTTTCCTCAACTAAGCACATACAGAGGTCTATAATATCCCTGAAATGAAGCAGTGGCTAAACAAAACCTATTTGATTACATAAAATTTCACGAATTCTTCCCACTGATTTCCAAATTAGATATATGAGCTGAATATCTCCTACTGGTTTTCTTTCATGTTTCATTAAGGTTTCATCTTTTAAAGTACAAAAAAGCATCATTTTTTTTGGTAACTATTTCTAGAGAGCTCCCCTCCTTCTGATCAGACATTCCATCTCTAAGAGCAAGCCTTCCATACCTGCCCACCACTCAATTTTTAAAATAGCATATTTTTGGAAAAGCCTTGTGTTTTCAATCTGAGTACAGATACTTTCCCAAGTGGCCAAAATTAAATGCATAAGGTGTTTCCTTTAACAACTTTTAGCACACAAAGTCCCTTAAGTTAATGCCTTTTTCCAGAAATTTACTTTCCCGGCACTCTGACACTTAATCACCATCTGATAATGGACTTTAGATTGTTTTAAAAGCTCAATGCAAATTTGAGCAGCAGTCTTTTATGATCTATGTTGAACCAATCACCAACTATTGTCTTCTTTCAGGATCTTTTGTATTTTCTCTTGAACCACTAGTCAGAAATCTCAAAATTGGATTAATTGTGTTTGCCAATTTATATTCTTTTGGTTTTTTTCTTGACCACTCCCTGGATCCATTTTATTCGCTGCTGACAATATCATCTAAATTTTAACTTTCCAAACTTAGGATTTTCCCACAGTTCTCACCTCCTACAAGAACAGCAATAAAGCCTTTCTTTTGACATTCACAGTCCAGTCTCCACAAGTGGTCCTTTACTTAGTTCATCTCTCACTATTCCTTAAGGCAAAGCCTCCACTAGCCAAAGATGGCAGTTATGCTGGACTAACACCAGTTCATAACCACCCGTTCTACATGCTGATCATCATTCCCCAACTTCTTGAAGACTCTCCTCTCTTACCTAAATCTTGCCTACAGTTTAAGGCCTGTGTCAGGTACCAATGCCTCCACCAAGTCTTCAATCTATATCATGGATCTCCTCTCTTCTGGATGGCTCTGGCACCTTGTGTCCTACTAGTGCCACCTCATCACAATGTCCCTTGAAGGCATCTCTTCAGAACCCCCACCCAGTCCCTCGCGCAGGGCTGAGCAAATCTGAAAATACTCCCTGAATGGAATTATCACATCAACGACTGTCAAAGTTTTCAAAGTAAAAATGTATTTTGTAACACACGGCAATTTATATTTAATTATTCTCTCTTAGACTTGTTTCTTTTTATATCCGATTTTTTTCTTTTTTCATATTCTGAATACTTATGAAGCAGGTTACTATTAGGGTATTTTGAGTCAGTTGAATAAGTGTATGAAGGTAAAAAAGGTCCAATTTAGTGGGAGAGCAAAAATTGGGAATTAATAAATACTTGTTAAATCACTAGAACAGGGTTCAGTGTGGGGATTTCAGTACACTTCTGCCATTTGTTTTCATAATTAAAGTTACATATTTATCTATGAATTGGCAGTGCTTTTATCACCAATCAAAAGATGGTTTTTCAAATATGAAAACCAGTGACCTATACTAACAAATTAGATTTATAATGATTATATCAACTATTAAGTTCTAATTAATTAACACTTACAAATAAAGCTCTTGGTGGGGGGGAGGAGGAGAGAATCCCACTATGAGGAACTAAGAGACAAAATTAACCACCCACTGCGGCTCCTATTTTGATTCCTGCCGGGCTTCAATCCCTAGCAAATAACACAAAGACCCAGACAAGATCATCCTATTATTTAATGGCATATAGTTAAATGCTTCATTTCCTTTCTGTTTACAGCTCAAGCACTAGAGCATAATTATGATTAGTCGAGGCACTTATGCTATCAGCATTGTTTGAAGAATAAATTATAGGACTTAACTATGCCTTATTAGTATCTTTTGATGACAGAGGTAGGGAACCATTCTGACTTGCTGAAATCAACATTTCACCGTGGTAGATTCTTGGTTTCTTCTCAAACTCGTATTTCTTAAAGTACCTTTGAAAAGAATTGTTCTAAAAAACAGCGAGCTTCTCTCTTACTCTTTTAAATGCCCTGCAGCCTTCTTCCACTTGAATATAGATACACCATTTTAATATAATATTATAGGCTGTTATAATTGTCAGAATATAGAGAAAAAGGAAACTTGAATGTCCTTTTTCTTTATCATTAACTTATCTGCCTTCTCCCGAGTCACCTGTAAATTGGACTGATTCTGTGGAACAAAAGCAGTCTTAAAAAGGACATTTCTCAAAAAAAAAAAAAAAAGGACATTTCTCATAAGCTATGATGCTTATCTGTTAACAAGAGAGTGGGAATTCCTGGGAGACATCACGTAACAAACAGAAAGAACGGGTCTTCTCTTTAGAGACACAGTCTTCTCTGTTCATCCTGAAAAGCCCCAGAAGGCAGATGGGCATGGGCAGCAATAATAAATAAGCTCACTGGAGCAGATACACAGCCCTACAGTTCTGTACCACACCTTCCAATCTGCAGATATATAAGTAAGCACTTTTGTGTATACTGTTGGTTTCTGGTAAGGTTATTGTCTGCAACCTAATGTTACAAGAGCTCTTATATTATTTGTGATTTAAAAACAAAAAATGACTACTCAAAATTTAGAAGGATAATCATCAGGGAAATTGGACTAGCACACTGCTGGGAACATGATTATTGCCAGATTCAGCGATCCAGGGTGGGACATAAGAAAAACAGTAATGAAAACAGCTGACTACATTTTGATTTGGAGATGCTGCTTTAACATGAAAATGCATAAGCTCATCTAATACATCTTTTTCCACTGCTATTCATTTTATGGAATACCTTTAGAATAATCTAAAGATAAAAAATGTTTGATTCCCTCTGATACTTATGAGTTACAGGCTAGTTAGGTCTTCCGAAGATTAAATGGGCATGTTATGTAACTGTGTGGCATAAGAGAATGCCTAGGATTTAGAACCAAAAGACCTAGGTTTGGGTCTCAGTCACATTAGCTGTGTGACCTGGGATATAACAATTAAATCTCTGAAGGCCTGTGTCCTTATTTGAAAATGAGGATTAAAAGTATCTGCCCTACCTAAGTATATAAGAAAATACTCTATAAAGTATTAAGTTACAAATGTTAGTTGTTTAGTTATGTACTTACTAATCTACGAGAACATGAAACTATATACTTATAGTTTATGCCTAAATTAAGATAATGTAATATTTGTTAAATACTTAACACTATGATACCGAGCCACTTATAAGGTCTTTATGTCATAAGTACCTTGACAAATCTACATTATTAATGCTCCTGAGGAGATGGACTTATTTTATTTCCAAAGTCTTTATTTAAATGCTTGGTTCATCCTTAATTTTAAAATTCAATAACCTTAAAGGAACACCTTTATAGTTACTATTTATAGCTCACTCATCTAAGAGCCCAGTTTCTCTTCTCTCATAAACTTCCTGCTTTACTCCTAGTATTTAATTTCTATAATTTAGCTCTATTTCTGGTTAGTGAGATGGAGGAAGGGCAAAAGAGGAGAAAAGGGAAATAATTAACAGTTTGGGTGAGGAGAAAGTTTTAAAACTACTGAATAAGGAATCTGGGAGTTAATGGTAGTTTTCAGCTGTCCATTTCAATAAATTTCTTTCAGTCTCTGCTCAGAAGATATATCAGAGAGGTCTTTACTGACCCTTATGTCAGATAGTACCTCGTCATTCCTAGTCCTCTATGCTACTTTATTTTTATGACTCTTGTCATTACCTGATTTATTTTAATTTTTCTTTTATTTTCACATTAAGATGTAAGTTCAAAATGTTTGAGAACTTTGTTAACTGGTAATTCCCATCTGTTAGCACAATCGTTAATATGTAACAGGTCCCTATGAATGTGTGAATGAATGAATGACTACATCCATAATATTCAAGTCCTCATATCACGACACGTGGTCAAAGCACAACATAAACTTTAATTTAAATATAAAAATATATTGGGGGAAAATATTGGGGATCCCCGGGTGGCTCGGCAGTTTAGCGCCTGCCTTTGGCCCAGGGCACGATCCTGGAGTCCCGGGATCGAGTCCCACGTCAGGCTCTCAGCATGGAGCCTGCTTCTCCCTCCTCCTGTGTCTCTGCCTCTCTCTCTCTCTGTCTCTCTGTCTATGTCTATCATAAATAAATAAATAAATCTTAAAAAAAATAAATATATATAAAAAGTAGCTACTAGGTAGATATGTACTTAGTGATAGAGTGTTTTGGAAAAAAGAATACATTCAAGATATCTCACCATCCCAAAGGTTTAATCAGGAAAACACACATAGAAACATAAAATTAGGCTGCCTAAAGAGTTGGAAAGGCTAGGAAGGAATTGTTGAAAAGGCAAAAAGCTCTCACCATTTTTGTTCTTATACAAGAAATTAACTTCAATGGAAATACACTGACAGTTTAAATAATAAACTCAACAACAAGATTTAATGTAAAGCAATATATATTCTGGACGGCAAGAAAAATGATGGAGGGGAGAAAAGTCTCATAAATTTGCACTGCTAACATTTAATAACTATTTTTATACAGATGTGTCTATCTTTCTAGTATAATTTAAATCAGACTCTAATCCCTTCTGGAACCTAAACTTCTTTCATGTGGTTGCTGAGAAGAAAAAGAATGTATTAGAAAGATGATTTATAGAGTTTATTTAGGTATGACTATTTATTTTAGGTCAACATCTGAAAGAGCTTCAAACTCTGAGTTTGAGGAAAAAATAGAATTCACCCTAATGTAAGAAATATTTAAGAAAAAATATAAGAGATCTTTTTATTTGAATTTTTTTAAGATTTAGTCCCTTTTGGGGGTAGGCATTGTGGGGTGGTACAAAATACAGAGATTTGGAATGAGGCTTTGTGACTTTTGTTTTTTTTAAAGTAAACTCTACCTCTAACATGGCGCTCAAATTCACAGGCCTCAAGGTCAAGTCACATGCTCTACCAACTGAGCCAGTCAGGTGCCCCAAGATTTTTTTTTTTTTTAGATATAAGTAAATATCTGTCACTAAAAAATGCTTAGACAAATTAAAGGATTATATTTTGCTACTTCCTAAAACACTTGAATTTTTTAAAAAACTTGAAAAAAAATAACTTACCTATAGGATATCCCAATGCAAAGTCATTACTTTGTGTAGCAAAAATAGGGAATAGTCCAGCTTTGCTAAATCGACTGTCTGGACTGGCAACCAATAAGGTTAATATACATACAATGAAAAATACAGAAGCTTTGGCAATCAAAATACTATATAGGAAAGACCAATCCACATTGGAAAAATTAAGTACAACCATATTTTTGAATAATAAAGCTGGAAGTGCAAATCTGGAGACAAAATTTCCTAGTCCTTTGGCCTGTGTTGATGTTATGACATTGGCTCTTCCTGCTATGTAGCCACAAAGGACTATGCCAAAACATTCTAGTAAGGCTGGAAAAAGCCTTGTTATTGACATTGAAGGTGGGTCATTAGTGGAATTAAATCTATGCATTGCTGTTGAGGACAAAGTCTTGGTGATATTGACTGCAATGGTTAGGTTCTCTGCAGGTAAATCAGAAAAAGAATCCATTTTCTTTCACCCTCCAACTCCAACCAGATCTCTGGAAAGAAAGGAAAAGATTCAGTCAACCAATTCAGACAAACAATAATGAGAAGAATTCTAGTTGAAAGTATATACTGGTAAGCCCAGACATATCAAATAGCCAAATAAATACACGTATTTTCTTTCAACAACCACCAGAGAAAAATACAATGGAAAAAGAAAAGTGAGTGTTTGGTAATAATAACCTCTTTACTCTCAAAGTTGGGTCAAAATATTTATGTTGCTGTCCTATTTTCAGTATCAAACATGAATAAAATAAAATCCACAAATACGACAGTTGCAGTGATACCCCATGGCTCTCTCCATGATCCACACTTGAGCTCCACCTTGTGGGTAAGAGCATGGCACCCAGAGAGCTTCTCCTGAATGTCTACCTGCATCCAAATTCTCTGGAAATTTCAATTATCAAGGCTACCTTAGGATAGGAGAGTTCTGTCTCTCTGGTCATACCTGAATATAGGACAGGAAGAAGAATATAGTAGAAGAGTATCACAGAGCAACTTTATTCAGTAACTTTCCTCATCTGTGAAATGGCAATAATAGTACCTATCTCATTGGGACTTGAGGTTATTCAAGTCCTTATAATCACATCTGGCACAAAGTAATCACTTAAAAAAAGTTAAATACAACTTTTGGTAGCCCATTAAAAGAGAACTTTAAAAAAGTGATGGCATCCCACCAGGGTACCCTTAGCTCCTTTTATACTGGTCTTATATATTTGCCTTCTTGAATGCCCCATAGTCCCTTTGTGTCACTGGGACTTTGTACATACAGTTCAGTATAAAATATTCTCTTCTCTCCTTGCCGCTGTCTATATAATAATACCTGTTCACCCTCTAAATCATATAGTTCAGGAATTGCTTTACCACATGAGGCTTCACTAATCCCATAGCTAGGTCTTTCTCAAGTAGAATCATGTTCCTTACCTGCAGGCTACTTTTCTTAGTTTGTAATTATACCATGCATGAGAGTGACTATTTAATTTATGTCTATTTATCTTTTCATTAGACTTTAAGTGCCACAGAAGTACGGACTCTGCATATTTTTGCTCATTATTGTAGCCCTAACACCTAGCACAGTGCCTGGCACACAGGAGACACAAATATATGTTAGAGTGTGTGGATATATATATATATATATATATATATATATATCAATATATACTACATAATTATATATATAAAATATATATAATTTTGGGCAGCCTGGTGGCTCAGTGGTTTAATGCCACCTTCAGCTCAGGGCCTGATCCTGGAGACCCGGGATCAAGTCTCATGGTGGGCTCCCTGCATGGAGCCTGCTTCTCCCTCTGCCTGTGTCTCTGCCTCTCTCTCTCCATGTCTCTCATGAATAAATAAAAAAAATATTTAAAAAATATATATATATATAATTTTGATGAATGATTAAAATATTAATCTGCTTTTAAATCTCTCACCTTTTAGTGGATCAATGTCCTCTTTTAGGAACTTTGTAGTTCATGGACAGAAATCTTTTTCCTGAATAATAAAGCATTATAAGCTTTCACTATAGCAACAGACTCAGGACCACAAGATGTGTTCTAAAGTTGTTCATAAAATGTTAAAGAACACAAAATATGTTGTAAAATGCTCTAACGATGTTCAGAAAACGCTAAAGCAAGAAAAAAAATTTATGTTAGCATTACTATACTTATCAGACTCCCTTCTTGCTGCCAGGGTCACAATGAATATGAGGTTTGGGCAACTTCACAACTAATCAGCCTTAATTAGTAACTTGAAATTAATATGGTGACAATTGTCAATTTCTAAGTGATTATTCTGGGTTAACCATCTAAAGTGGCCTTATATAAGGTAGAAAGTAAAAACACTCATGATTCCTGAAATTTACAATGCCAACGGGTAAGTTTTCAAACACCCACAGGACATAAAAAAGACTCAGGTAGCAGGCCAGAGACCAACCAGCAACAACTGATACATGGGGTGTGGACAAGATAATTTTCTCTGTGTTACCCTCGTATAAACTGAACCATTTAAAACCTTACAATTAATCTGGATCAGCACAAGTATTTTTCTACCAGGATTAGATAGGAGTGGTTAATATACATAAACCTACAATAATCACATACTTGAAGTTTACCAAATAAGCATCAAATTATATACTGGGGAAGCTAATGGTTGGGACAGGTACCATTAGTTGAAGTAAGAAGCTGGTAAACAAAGGTGTTAAACATTTGGAGCCTAAAAAGGTGTGGACTTGAAAAGGTAATGTTAAAAAATAAGGCGATGAACTTTTGCAGTCTTACATTATTTTTTAAAGTTCCCTATATTTCTTCGCCTGGAATATTAGTAACTCATACTGTTCACTACCCCTTATTTGTAATAATTGATATGTATATTGTATGTAGTACAAATTAATTATTAGAATAATTTTTTAACCAAGTTTTAACTAACATAGCAGTTGTTCAGGGCACTTGGATGGCTCAGTGGTTGAGTGTCTGTTTGCCTTTGGCTCAGGTTGTGATCCTGGGGTCCTAGGATCAAGTCCCGCACGGTTCCTCTCAGGAAGCCTGCTTCTTCCTCTGCCTACGTCTCTGCCTCTCTCCTCTCTCTCTGTGTCTCTCATGAATAAATAAATAAAATCTTAAAAAAAAATAGCAGTTGTTAATTTCAAAGCGTCAAATAGACCTGAACCCAATTTGGGGCCCTATCACTTATCAACTCTTTGGGCAAATTAAATATCCTCTCTGAAACTTAGCTTCTTCAACCTTAGGAGTGTGGTCATAATGAGACTGGTAACACATTAAATATAATTCAATGCCTTATGCCAGCTCTTCAAACTTGGCATTAAAGATTCTCCAAGAAAATAAGAGAGACGGGAAGGGTCATAGATTAACAGCTTCTCTTTTATACCGAACTAAAAGGAATTCAATTTAATACAGTTTGAACTTAAAACAGTTTTTAGCAGGGAAGGGAGAGTTCTTCATTTTTATCAAGGTGATGGTCAAATAGTTGTAGCACTGCCCAGGATTAACTTTAAGTTAGTTAAAAGTTAAAGAGAAATACTTTGAAAAGTAACCTGTCCCATCCCCGAAAGATTCTTTTAATGTTCCTCAACAGTATAAAAGCAACACTTGTCAATAGAGGGAATGTCGAAACAACCAAAATAGCACTTACAAAGGTTTCTCATCTCTCTCTCTTTTTTTTTTTTGCCCCCAATAGGGAAGAGTATAGGCTTTTTAAAGCATTCTGTGAACATGAACAGGAACCACAAGCAATGGAAGTTTTTAAAAAATTGTATCCAGTCTTTTCATCTCGTTAAAAACAAGAGTTGCTAATGGCACAAGTTGATCTGTCCCAATAAAAAAGACTGCTCGGTGGCCGCTTAGTGGGATGAGGAGGAGAGAAATGCTATATACAAAGGGCTGCCAGCCACTGACAGCTGGTGGCGATAACACGAAGGAACCACTGAAACCGTAAACAGCCACCCCCTGTTAAGTGAAAATGGGGAAGAGGGTTCTGATTTATTGCAGAGAAAGCTTTAAACTCTTAGCCTGTCTGTCCTCAAACAGCCAATATCCATTATCCTGCGGGGGAACAAACCCAACACAGCCTGGTATTATTACAGCATCTTGCACATCAGCAGTCACACCACCCGCCCACTCCCACCTACCTGCAGAGGACCAAATGTCCTCCCTAGAGACCTCGGGTGGGAGCCATGCACGGCCTCTTCCCGCGTCGGCAGGGGCAGACTTTGGCCCTCCAAGATAAGGATGCGGAGCGTCCTTAACCAAACAGCCTGCCCCGAGACCGGCTGCCACCCAGGGCCCGGGCAGCCAGCGGTGGCAGCGGAAAGGCCGCCTGGGGTCTGCGCCTGGGATAGAAAGTTGGTCTCTCAGCTCCCCCGGGGCGTGGGGGTCACAACGTCACGGTACCTGACATGCTCCAAAAAGAGGCAAGGGAGAAAATTTGGTGCAGCGCTCCAGGTACCGGGCAGGAGCTCCCAGGAGGGCAGATACTGAGGCCGCCCCCTCGGGATAAAAGGCAGAGTCCGAGAATGACACGCGTGGCCGTGCAAGGAGGCGCTCCTCAAACTGGGCTCTGGCGCTTGTCACTGGAGGGGACAAGCGGTCCCTTCCCCTAGGCTAAGTCTTCTTGGGTGGCTCCCGGGGTCCTAACAGCGGGTAGGCTCCGGCAGCGGGCTGCACGCCCGGGTGCTAAGGGCGGGGCACTGCCCGCCCCCCGGCCCAGGCCCGCGGGGCGAGGATGGGGGCATCCAGGGTCCGCCAGGCCGAGCCGGGGCGGGGCGGGGGCGCCCCCGGGGGCCCCATCTCACCTGCTACGTCTGCAGCCCCGAGGCCGCAAGAAGGGAGTCGATGCTCGTGATGGGCCGAGCAGGAAGGAAATCACCGTCATCTCCCACCCCAGCTCTCTCCACCGAGAGCTGCGGGCTGCTGGCGGCCGGCTACAGCAGCTCTGTCACGTTCCGAGAAAGCGAGGTGCAGGAGCGCAGGGACCGGGTCAGCTCCTCCCCGCGCCCGCCGCGCGGGCCCCGCCCCTCCACCGGGCCCCGCCCCTCCACCGGGCCCCGCCCCCGCCCCAGGCCTCAAGCCGCGCCGCCAGGGCATCTCTGAGCCTGGCAGCCGCGGGTCCCGCCTCCAGGCCCCGCCCGCCCCCGCCGCGGGGCTCCGAGTCGCAGGGTCCCCGTTCCCGCCCTGAGGCTCCGCCCCCGGCAGCCGGGATGTGGGGGGGGCGGGGGAGGGGGAGGGGCAGGGGTGGGTGGGGACACAGATCCCCGGCTCCGCCCCCGCGCCGCCGCCTCCCAGCCGCTCGCCGCCGACACTTCCGGCCGCGGCGCTCCCAACATGGCGGCTGCCGCGGGGACCCTGCTAGGCGCGTCTTCCTCGCCGTAAATTCAGACGGAATTGGAAGCCTCTGGTTTTTTTCAGCCTAAAGCCCAGCGTCTTGTGATCCGCTAGTTCATACGTCGGTGTGACTAGTCATTTTATAGCAAAGAGTTTAAAAATCAGATCCGGGTCAGAATCCTGCTTTCCCCGTTCGCCGAGGCCTGTGTGTGACCTTGACCTTCCCAAGCCGGGTCCTGGGCTGGATCTGGATAGAACGTGCGCCCACATGGAAAGGGACACCTGCGGTCCCGCCGTGGGGGAGACCACGTGTCCATCCCCCGGGTGCTGGGAAGAAACCCCTTCGGTGGCTGGGAAACTTGCTGAGCTTGCAATGAAGGCGTCGCGCGTGCAGAGCTCCATTTTGAAACTCGAAGAAACCCTGTATTTGTATTGTCTTTTGGAGTCAAAATTCTCTTCAAGTCTAAGATGTTTAGGATATTCCGGGGCAGCCCGGGTGGCTCAAGGTTGAGCGCCTGCCTTCAGCCCCAGGGCGTGACCCTGGAGACCCGGGGTCAAGTCCCGCATGGGCCTCCCTGCCTGGAGCCTGCTTCTCCCTCTGCCTGTGTCTCTGCCTCTCTCTCTGTGTGTGTCTCTCATGGATAAATACATAAAATCTTTATATATATATATATATGATATTCCACTGAATATGACAGGCACCTGCCCTTTGTAAAGCCTTGATTTTACCTTGCATTTAACTTTTGTTTTGTTTTGTTTTGGTCTGGCAACTTTAGATGCCTTCCCATCATCTTAGTAGTCTTTGTGCAAAGATACAAAAATGTGTGATTTGAAAAGTCACAGTAAACTAAGGATTCGTTAAAGGTTCTGAAAACTAAGGAGAAAAATGAGGTGAAAGAAACCATAGAAAAGTCATACATTCTCTTCCTGTTCTCGCTTCACCTTTGTTCTCCATCTTCACTCTTAACTGCCTTCTTTTTTTCCCCTTGAACCTGGCTATTTTTTTTTAAATCTTCTGAATATATTATCTCAAGGCTAAAAGGATATTTGTTTAGAAAGTATAAAGATTCAACTAAGTAAATATGGAGTTTTGATTTTTAGGAGAATACTTGAAGATATACCTGGAAAGGGAAGTTAAAGCCAGCCTCTAAGAAGTTCTTTTTTTTTTTTTTAATATTTTATTTATCTATTCATGAGAGAGACACAGAGAGAGAGAAGCAGAGACACAGGCAGAGGGAGAAGCAGGCTCCCTGCAGGGAGCCGGACATGGGACTCAATCCCAGAACCCTGGGATCACACCCTGGGCCAAAGGCAGATGCTCAACGGCTGAGCCACCCAGGCATCCCTAAGAGGTTCTTTAGGTTAGGCTTAGAGTTTGGGTCTTGCCTTATCCTCTGACCACAGTAAAACCATTAAATATGTTTTGACGGGAATGTGTCATAATGATCACATTGTTTTTGGATATGTAACCTGGAAGCTTTCCCAGAATTAGTTGAGAAAGAGACTGAAGGCAAGAAAAGCAGATGACTTTGGAAAGAACCTACACACTAGGAAATGAAAACATGTACTTTGGAGCGATGATAATGAAAAAAGTAGGAACAGCCTGAGAGACATTACAAAGGAAGTGCTGATGGGACTGGATTACTTATAGGGCCAAAGAAGAGGGATAAGACAATGAACTGAAGTCCTTACTCCATTACAATAAGGAAGAGGAATTGAGTCAGACAGCCTCTAACAGCCTTCCTAGTTCTAAAGTTCCATTATTTTCTATCATTCTATTATCTGAAGATGAAGAAATATTTCAAATGAGAGAAGCAGCTACAAGAAAATAATTTGATTATAGGTCTAAAATCTAAAGCCTTAACAAATTATCTACTTCCATCTTTCTTTCTTTCTTTCTTTCTTTCTTTCTTTCTTTCTTTCTTTCTTTCTTTCTTTCTTTCTTTCTTTCTTTTTCTATTTATTATTCATGAGAGACAGAGAGAGAGAGAGGCAGAGACACAGGCAGAGGGAGAAGCAAGCTCCATGCAGGGAGCCTGACGTGGGACTCGATCCCAGGACTCCAGGATCACACCCTGAGCCAGAGGCAGAGACGCTCAACCACTGAGCCACCCAGGCATCCCTCAATCTCTCTTCTTGAAGGAGTTGTCATCATCCTCTCCATTATAATAAAATCTTTAAAAAGAAAAGAAAATGCCAAGAGTATATCTGAGTGGTAAAAATACACATGATTTTTTTCTTTGTAGAACAGTTCTCAAAATTTCTATGAAAAAATACATTAATGTTATCAAGAAAAAGCATGAAATAAGTCATAAAGTATATATTTTTGTTATGTGGAAATGGTGAATAATATCTAATAGTATTTTTCTAAAACAAATTTAAAAGTCACTACTGTGTATTAAACTATGTAGGTATATAAAATCCATCCATAAAATAGAACAATTTAAGAGCATTGATAACCATGTAATATATGAATTTATACAAGGTTAAGGCTAATTCTTTACAAAGTTAATCTTTGTATTCTTATGTGTTCCATAAATGTGTGTGTGTGTGTGTGTGTGTGTGTGTGTGTTTAAGATTTTATACAGAGAGGCAGAGACATAGGCAGAGGGAGAAGCAGGCTACCTGTGGGGAGCCTGATGAGGGACTCCATCCCAGGACCCCAGGATCAAGACCTGAGCTGAAGGCCGATGCTCAACCGGTGAGCCACCCAGGGGCCCCTGTAAATGGTTTTTGAATGATTGACTAAAACAGAATTGCCTACTAGCTATCAGGCTGTTAAAACTTACTTTTTATTCAATTGGAACTAACTGATATAAGCAACTGTGGCATAGCTTTTTTAGAGTAGCCGTAT